ATGTTTTGCAGTTTCAAAGTTATATTGCAAAATATTGTTATACAGTTACAGATGTCTAGGGTGAAAATTCGACACGGATTCACACACCACAAATGCTTATTTTATAAAATTGAAAAAACTTATCATTATGACGTGACCCCACTGGTGGTGAGGTTAGCCAAATTTTAATTAGCGTTTAACCATCTACACAATATTCCTATACAAAATATGACAACAATCGGTCCAGCTTAGCATTATTGCTTATTTTTTGCCATATAATTCGTCATTAAAAGTATGTAGTAGTACTTTGAATCACCCTATGTACAGGATGAATTACGCAGCGTGCCTTTTTATTAATTTTTAGAAAAAGAAAAAAAAATTAAAGACGAAAGCTAACTTTTTTGATCTACAAAATTATTTAGATCAAAGTTGCCTCTGAAACATAACCTTGAATAAAAATAATTTCTAAAAATATCAATAATTATAATCAGCCATTGTTCAAAATTGCTTTAAATTCTTCTCCTTGAACTTCAATAAAATCTATAATACTAATAATAATGCTACTTATCAAGTGAAAAAGTTGTTTAAAAGTTGTAAATCCTAAATTTCCGATTCAGTTAGTAAAAAATTGAAATTTGAATGGAATGAATTTAGATATTGCATATTTTTGAAATTTTATAGTATGTTTTTTTTTCAAGAATGAGAAAGAATCTTGGGTGTTCTTGTGTTTTTTCAAAGAGTGTAAGAAAATTTTGGGGCCTCATAAGTCTTTTTTTAAGGAAGGGGAGAATTTGGAGAGGAAAATTTCGAAAAAATTTTAACTCTGTTTAGGAAAATGAAATTACTACTACTAATCATTTATGCGAACTTGCCTCACCTCTGAAGTACAACAATGAGGAGAAAAAATTAATTACCCGGTTACTAATGTTTTAGTTTTCGGTATTGTGGAAGCCTTGTTTTATTTTAGAACAAACGCAGTGGTTCATTGAAATGGGGTAGGGGTGGGTGGGCGGGGCTAACTTTTTTTCTACAAAATTATTTAGGTCAAAGTTGCCTCTATCAATAACCACTAACCAGATATTGCTCAAAATTGCAAAAATGTAAACCGTATATAACATTAAAAAAAAAATGCGATATTTGACTTTTTTGTCAGTTTTAGTTTACATGGAAAAAGGTATTTTTCTCTTTCTGAAAAATAGTGTTATTACGTCTTTTTTCAGTATTTATTTAATATTTTCATAATAAGCTTCTTGTGTTTATTATATTTCAAAATAAATTAACTATTTCGTACACTTGTAAGTAGAAAGGAATTTATTATTATACAGGGTGTTTCAGAACACTATTGCATAATTTTAATGGTGAATTATATGGCAAAAAATAAATAATAAGTTCTAGTGAAACTATATTTTCTCAAAAGCAGAGAAGGTACAGAATTTTTAAATTTGGTACGTTATCAAAACTAATTTCCACCATTGTTAATTGTATTAGCAAAAAATGGTCCAAGGTTATTTCGACATAACTTCCCTTGCTCCTGAAGTACAATAAAAGAGATAAACTTTTTTGAAAAATGATAAAATTTTATTATGCAAATTTTCATTCATCCGTTTTTGTGAGTCACCCTGTATAAAACAATTTAAAACTTTTAATGAAATGATAAATCACAAGTATAGACCCATTGTATTTTGCCCATTTTCGATTTCTAAGGTGAAAATTCGACACGGATTCACACACTACAAATGCAGGAGTATCTTATTTTATAAAATTTTCAAAACTTACTATTATGACGTCATCCCTTTGGTGGTGAGGTAGCCAAATTTTAGTTAGTGTTTAACCATCTGCAGAATATTCCTATACAAAATGTGACCATAATCGTTCCAGTAGTTTTGGACATTGCTTGTCTAACAAAAATGGATACAGACTCCAGACGGAAACGGGAGACAACGTTTTCATACTCTAGAGGTCATAACACGTCGAGAAAATATGAAAGTGGCAATTCGCCCGACTCGATTACTATAATTACTTCCTTAGCTTAGTATTATTCACGTATTTTTTGCTATATAATTCGTTATTAAAAGTATGCAGTAGTGCTTTGAATCACCTGTATATAAAAGATAAATTACGAAGCGTGCCCTCTTATTAATGTTTATAAACAAAAAAAAAAAAATTGAAGACGAAAGTTAACTTTTTTAATCTACAAAATTATTTAGAGCAAAGTTCCCTCTGAAACATAACCAACACACCTTGTAGAAAAGTAAGTTCTAAAAATATCAATAATCAGACATGGGTCAAAATTGCAAAAATTATAGGAATTTTCAAGATCTCCGCAAACTTCAATAAAACCTATAATACTAACAATAATGCTATTAATCAAGTGAAAAAGTTGTCTAAAAGTCCTAAATTTCACATTCAGTTGGTAAAAAAAATGAAATTTGAATGGAATCAATTCAGATATTCCATATTTTTGAAATCTTGGTGTCTTCTTTCAGTTAAAAAATATTTCAAACTTAAAACCACAGAGAATTTTGTACAATGTTTTTTTTTTTTCAAGAATGAGAAAAAATTGTGGGTGCCCTTGTGTTTTGTGTATCAAAGAGTTTAAGAAAATCTTAGGGGCCTCGTATGCCTTTTTTTTAAGGATGTATTTTGTTTTTGAATGAATTTGGAGGAAAATTTCGAAACAAATATAACTCTAAGAAAATGAAATTATGTACTACTACTAATCATTTACGCGAACTTTCCTCATCTCTGAAGTGCAACAATGGAGAGAAAAAATGAATTACCCGGTTACCGAGGTTTTATTTTGTAGTAATGTGAAAGCCTTGTTTTATTTAGAACAAACGCAATTGGTTCACTAAAATGGGAAAGGGGTGGGTGGGCGGGCTAACTTTTTTGTCTACAAAATTATTTAGGTCAAAGTTGCCTCTATCAGTAACCAGACATTGTTCAAAATTGTAAAAATATAAACTGCATAAAACTATACAGAGTGTTTTGTGTTTAAAGCGCAACACAACCAACATTTATTTTTGAAATTCCACTCCGACGTTGCCATCTCATTCCAATTTTCTTGAAATTTTTTAGTAATGAGAAGGTCCACAAAAAATCTCAATAAACAGTCCTTAAGGTGTCATACATTTAGTGCACCATTTTTGAATCCGCCACCAACTATGACTACTGATTTTCACATTAGAGCAGTGATTTAACCAAACATTTTTAGCAAAATGTAGCAAAAATTCTATTTTAGTAATTTATTTTAACCTGCATTTTGTTACATTACATGGCTTGAAAAAATATTCACCTATATAACATAAACGCAACAAATTGATAAACTATGTGAAAAATCCCGTTTTTTTACCGTAAATAGACACATTTTTATTAGCGTTTTATCATCTTCGCAATAATTTTAAAATACACAAAATCGCAGATAAATTGGTGCCGAAGTTCGGAAATTATGTAACTAATAAAACCGCGGACAGACATGAAGGGGAAACTTAATTTTACAGGTTACGAAATACCGAGAGAGCAATAAAAACACGATCAAGGGCAGCCATGGACTATGGACTATTAAAGACAAATGTTCAAAAATGCGTGGCTACCTTTGATCGATTTTTTTATTGCTCTCTTAGTATAAGACAATCATAAGAAAATCGCTTGGTAAATAAGAATTTAAAAAAACTTAATGGGTATAAATATGTATCAACTCTCCGGAAGTGATGCATAAAAAGGTTGGGTGAAGTTCTGTACTGCTATCATATTAAAATCTTTATTTCAAGTAAAAAGAAAAACACTCAAAAAATTGTCTGAGTGAAGCAATACGATATTGATCGTTGATAAACATTTCACGGTAATAGATTTGAGATTTCCACGAAGCGTTGTAACAAGGATATACAGTTTTGTGGGTAAAAATATTACCTACTTCTAATCTCATGATATGGATAATCTATCGCACGTGTTTACACATATTTATACAAGAAACTGCAAGTAATGATCTTAAAATATTGGACCCCCCTATCGTTGCTATTTGCACAATAATAATAACAGTACATGTTTGTTCGCACTAGTAATTTACAGACGGGAAATTTTTGTTTTCCCACCTACTTGTTATCTTTTTACACCGAACAGACATTTAGGCGTACTAAAAAAATCGAGAAAAACACGAACTTGAAAAATACTTAATTGATATAGTGGAAAGCATAGATAATGAAAAAATATAATTGGTGTAATATATTTTTATACGGCATTTTTAACAATCCGATATTCCCGGAAAGATCCTTATCGAGGAAAGCATACCTCCACATTTGCAATAAAATAATATCAATTTCCGTTATCTTCAATATCAACGCGGTTAACAAAATTTCCACGTTTACGGTAATAACCTAATAACTCATCACCTGATTAAAGTGACAACAGTCTATTTATATACGTACACATCGTACCCCAAACATTAGGAAGTAAATGTTTTTCACCTCTTGCCAAAATTTTAAATCTCGAGGTTAATAACCATCCTATTTTTTTCCAGTCATTCTGACGTTGTAGTATCATTTAAACGTTATCAGCAGATTTTTTAATACCTTACAAAGCAGAGTAGATTTAAATTAAGCATGCATTAAACATAAAGAGTATCAACTAATTCCCCTTATTAACATTTCCCAGAAGTGGTTTACTCCCATTGAAAATCTCACGCATTCTTGTCTTGACCTACGCTAAAGTTTGTAACTGGTCCAGGTTTTAAAAGTCATCACCTCATTCGCCACAGCATATCGGAATAAAACAGAACTCGTTTCTTGATATATTCAATAGATAAAAATTTTGATTAGGTGTACCGCGGTCGAGTTAGTCGCGAACTGACTGCGGTACACAAAAGACCCATTGTTTGCTCTGTGATATTAGTGTATAATGTGTCAATAAAAAAATGATTTCGACAGAGGATAGCAATTGGCCTATAGATCTAGAGTAAGAATGCAAGTCATTTTGATAGTTTATTTTGTACGTTTCAAGGCTAAAACGTGCACTCACCAGTAATTCTGTAATATTCTGATGTGTTTTTCGCTTGAAACACATGTGATAATTACAAGAAAAATTCGTTCTTGACTTCTTGGTCTTGGCGATTTTGTAGAAGACCTTGAACAGGGGCAATTCCCCAGTACAATATAGATTATCATCTCAAAACAAATACTTGGGTTCGTAAAAAGAGGGAATCGTTTTGAACTTTGTACCGTTTACGTACATGTGATTACTATGAAGAGCTTAAAGTTCCTTAATTGCCGTCGCAATAAATGACAATTCATGGATCGTTAAATGAACCGTAAATCATTTCGTTGAAGGGGAATTACGCGTTGTTCGAGGCAGGAATGTGGATTTTGGGCCGGACGTTTCCAAGAATGGTTTTAGGATACTTCAAGCAGACAAATTCTGCAAAGATTCAGCGAAAGAATTAGTGCAAAAATTGTCTACATTATTTGACTTTTAACTAGTTGTGTGCTATATCAGGAACTTTCACATTTTCAAAGGAAATGACAGTGCTAATAGGAAATATAAATAACTTGTAATTTCAATTGAGTTGATAGAACATCTGGTCCTCTTAATTCTATTAAACTTATCCTGATAATGTTATCACATTATCACACTTCTTAAATTTTTCCGTGTAGCCCAGCGGTTGGTCGAATACTTACAAGGAATCGTCATAATTGCAGTTAACATGTTCTCATTTTTATGATCTCCACAACAAAATCCTCTAGTGATATGGGAGGATTTGTGATGTAATCTCCCGAATTGTACTTTGTACCCACATGTTTTTAGTTTGTGTCAAATCGTATTTTCGTGTAACCTCTGCCAAGTCTAGTTTCTCCGAAAAATCTACATCGTATTTTCGGAAAAGTTTGCTTTCCCAAAATGGTTAAGTATTCAGAAGTAAAGACAAGTTTTATGACAAACAAGTGACAGTCGATCTCGTTCTAAACTGGGACAAGCAATTTAAAGGTTTGGGTTATTATTATTATCATTATCGAGTTCATAGTATTACAGCGATTTTTAATATTTCAGTCTGGCATTTTGTTGTTTTTTATTTTGTTATTATTATTTTTAAAACTGTTTTTTTGACTTCCTCTGTCCTTGCAGGTAGAGAATTAAATAAATTAATAGTTCAACATTTTCTTGTAAGTTTAATGTTTTCACTATGTTTACAGTAGGATGGCCACTTTTGATGCTTTTGTTATATTTTATGAACATTACTTGAGCGACAATTTTGGATGAATAAATTTATGATTAAGGTCAGTGTAGTTAGTGATTCATTGGTACGTTGAAAAACAATATCATTCGCCCCGGGAGAAAGAGGTCCGCAAAATCAAGGCCCTAAATCACTGTCGCGCAGCGTATGTGAGACCCTCATGATACCATTGACAGTTTGTAACAGTTGTGAATTATGTTTGTGGAGTTGACATTGAAGTTTTTTATTTTTGCTTTTTTTGCTAATTCATGTTTTCTAAACATTTCATAGTTCCTAGAATATGAAAAAGTAGGTCTGGCGTTTCCGTCTGTTTGTCGTCTATTGGCCATTTTATAGACAATCTCCGAAACTACTCGACCGAGTGCTGTGAAATTTTAGATTGTATTTGAAGCATGCGATTTAATCCTTATGTTTAACTGTGTATATGTAGATTTTTGGAAAATAAAAAATTGTACAATACATTTTTATAATTGAACTTATAAACACCAATTGCGCTGAAATTTTGCACACGATTTTAGATCATGGTAATTATGGCGAAACGCTAATCAGAATTCATTTGCTTATCGCTTCCAAAAATTTGATAACATCGTCTCAAAATATTGCAAAGTTGGATTTGTTTTATTTTTAACCTTGTGCATGACCCCCCGCCAAGTACGGTCCAACAAATCCCGTTTTAAAAAATGATAAAATTTGAATTTACGATTTTTGTTTTGTGGTAACCTTTGTAAAGTACAAGCACAAGCCCGTACAAGTGCGAACAATACCGACTAAAAGAATTCGACTATTAGCACGTTCAGATAACAAGATTTTGTGTGAAAAGGAAATGAAATTTGATTGATTAATTAATTAATTCATGGAGTTGTTATTATGAAAATTTTATTATTAAAAATAGGCGGTCGCGACATTACTGTATTCTTACATTCTCGAGAAAATAGAGTGAACCGGTCTTGATTTGAGAAAAAAAAAAAATATTGAAAGTTATTTCGACAAAACTTCCCTCTATAAAGTAAAAAAATATGAATGCATTGATAAACTACAATAATAGAAAAATTTTCGCACATTTTAGACGGAAAAATTTGGCGATGCTGTCATCAGTTTGGACGGAGAGAGGAGATAAAATTTCATTACGATTTACCAAGCTTACGATAAACTTAAAACGTTTGCAAGATTTCAAGGCATTTGGTTTTGCCATTCAAAAGTTTGATGACCTGATTAATTTTTAAATAAACAGATAAATTTTGATTAACGATCTACCTTGCTCCGATGCCCTTAAAACGTCTATAACATTTCAGGTTTTGTAGTTTCCATATTAAACCGCAAAATGTTATACAATTTTTTCCCAAAAATCTGGAAATTTAAGGTAAAAATCAACACGGAGTTACTATTGTAAATTTTGGAAAAGACGTCATCGCAAATTTTGGTTAGCATTTTATCGACACGATATTTATAACATGCATATGAAATTTGACAAGAATCGGGCTAGTAATTTCGGAGAATATCTGTCTAATAAAAAATGACACTGACGGCAAACAGACGGATGGAAATGGGAGACCTATTTTTTGATATTTTAGGGACCACGAAACGTCGAGAAAACATGAAAGCAGCGATTCGGACGCTAGTACAGTACTTGAAACCGATTGGCTGAAATTTGCCATTTTAAATTATCGTGAACATTGTAAGTTTGTAATCAGAATTCAACTGTTAATATTTGCTCAAAACACGTCATCTCAAAATTTATTTATATCAATCTTACTTGAAGTGTTTACAGTAACATGGTGATTTAATAATAAATTCAGATTTTTATTCATAAGAATGCGATTTATTGACATTGATTTCATGATTACAGAACAAGAATTCAAATTAATTGATTCATCGCCTCTAGAAAGTTAATGACATCATCGTGAATGTATGGAAACGACTCCGCAAATACAACTGATACATTTTTGTAGTGCAGTTTTTCGAAATCACTAAGTGTTATTGTTAAATACGTGACAAATTGTAAACAGCACATCTGGGATTTCTTGAGGACTCAACTAGACAAACAAAGTCATAAAAATTCCTCTATTCTTTTCGGTGACTGGATGAACCGGCATCAATAGCACCCCCCAATCCCTGCGCCACGTGAACGCAAATTTCAATTATTATTTTATCATTATTAAAGATCGACGGGCGCATTCTCTATTTTCAAGAAAATAGGGGGATTCATTCTTAATTTGATGAATAAACAATTCTGTGATGACGTGATTAACATAGATAATACTAGTAACAAACCATTACCCATTACCAATGCAAGACAAAAAATACAAAAGTGACCATTCGTCCGATGGACTCAATTACTACATTTCCTTAGCTTATGCTCGGGAAGTGATAATTAATAAACGACTCTATTAATTTTATTGATTATTTAAAAAATTACTGTTTAATTTTTAAAAATTCGCGAAACACAGTACCAATTTTTATTTCAATATTCAGGCGTTTTCACAGACGAAATAATATTTGCCGAATAACCTTTTATAAGTTCTCTACGAAACTGGACTTGCTTGAATGTGCTTTAGGTGCGAGGGAAGTCCACTTTTGGTATGGTCCGTAATTTCAGGTACTGACCGATCAATATGTGGGTTAATTCTTTAGAATTTAAGCAACTTCAGATCTTTTCTCTATAACGGTGTTCCGAAGAGAAAGTATTTTACGAGTGTAGAAAAGTTGATTACCGAAGTAGCGCCAAATATCGAAATATCACTGCAAAAATTTGACCAGTTTTAGTTAATGTTGTTAAAATACAAAGGACCATTAGTGGCACCTTGAGTTAGTTTTAACAGCTGAACAAGAGTGTAGTAGAACATAGTTGTGTATCATGTGAATCTGATGGTCCAATGTGTCCATTACAACAGTCTTGTATTACCTTTTTGCAACACTATTATATTGTAGCCATGAATTATAAAATGTGACAACAACTTTTTTTTTCGGAGATAAAGTATTGATTACATTCGCTGTTTCATCGAAACACCCATTGTTTCTCGGAGAAGCACATATTGACTTTACTCAGTATGTTTTTTGACTTTGATAAAATTTAACAAAAAAATGGACATACGTATACATTTCCATTAAAAGATAGTGTTATATTAATACAACCAGCCGTCAATTGTTATCAGTCACTAACTCTTTGACTGAAAATCATGAACTACTTGCCGGCCATATTCAAACTTATGTTTAGACGAGTGACTTTAAAATCGATTCTACTTGAAAGTCAACTCTGATAAGATACATAAGTATGCTTACTCGATAACGATCTAACTAATCCATTTTTCGTCATTCGTTTGTGACCTAAATTGTCATTTTTCTGTTCCAGCTGTAGGATGGACGGTGACGAAGACAGCTACTGCGCTAAGCCACATTCCCGCCAAAATGGCGTCCACGTGTCTGATTTGGGCGACATGAGTTTCATGATGCTGGACTACATTAAGGAAGCCATGAAGGTAAATCAATCAGTTTATAATAATCTCCGAAATGCGATAGTGGTTTTTGAAGGCCATGGACATGATGAGGAGCCACCAAATGCTAACCGACATAACGCTGGAGGTCGGCCACGAAGTATTCTACGCCCATCGGGTGGTCCTCGCCGCCGCTAGTCCTTATTTCAAGGCGATGTTCACCGGTGGTCTGAAAGAATGCGAAATGACCAGGATACCTCTCCAGGGCGTATCGCCAACCGCCATGGCTAGACTGATACATTTCATGTACACTGGTAGGATTAGGGTTACGGAAAATACTGTGTGCCAATTGTTACCTGCTGCAACAATGCTACAAGTTAGTATAAATTTTCGTTTACTCATCGAGATTGATGATCCTCGCGATAAGAGCCCGGTTAAAGTTCAATTGCTTTTTGTTCCAGGTGACGAACGTAATACAAGCGTGCTGTGATTTTTTAGAAAGACAATTAGACCCGAGCAATGCTATCGGAATCGCTAGTTTCGCTGAGCAACACGGATGCATAGAATTATGCAAAAAGGCGAATCAGTACATAGAACGGCACTTTTGTCAGATCTGTCAGGAAGAGGAGTTTCTGCAGTTGAGCGCGTTACAGTTAATCACGTTGATTAAGAAAGATGAGCTCAATGTACAAGACGAGAAGGAGGTGTACAACGCCGTCCTCAAGTGGGTCCGACATGACGAAGAGAATAGACATAAGAAAATGGAACACATTTTGAGCGCGGTGCGGTGTCAGTTCTTGCCACCCAAGTTTCTCAATGACCAAATGACCAACTGTGAGGTTATCAAAAAGGCGCCAGCGTGTAGGGAATACTTAGCTAGAATATTCAAGGATCTGACGTTACACATACGTACTGTTGTTAAAGAAAGAACACCAAATATACCTAGGGTTATTTATATCGCCGGCGGCTATTATAGGCAATCTCTGGACGTTCTAGAGGGATACAATATTGACGATAAAACGTGGCACAAGTTGGATAGTCTAACGGTGCCAAGATCTGGATTAGGCGGCGCTTTCTTGAAGGTAGGTTTTTTATGGCGGTCGACAATCTCTTGTTTACAAGTAACGCTAACAAGTTTTTCGTTATTTGTGTCGCGTTATCACCGGAAGACGGAATGACTTGGAAATTTTAATCGCGCTGGTTTCTAAACAGTGACGTTGCTATTGCAAGGGTGTGGGGTAAATCTTGGCTACCACCGACCAATAGGCACAGCATTATCAGTATTACTTAAGTCAAGTGCTCTTGATAAATCGTATGATCGTGGTCAACGTAAATAGTGACACCAATTAATCTTTTTTCAACGACTGTTTAATGACTGATAACAAAGCTTTTATGTAGTTGTACAAAAAAAAGATATATGTGTTTCTACGAATTCAATGACAATACGGAAATTGTATTCTTTTGTTTGGAAAAAATGCAATCGGTGTTTTTATCATTTCAAACGTTCTTATTTTAACGTAATAGAAGGTAAGTAGAAGTAAAAATACCAAATTTATTATCGCAATGAATACGAAATGCTTTTGAAAATACATATGTGACCTTATCAAAAGGGACAAACTTAAAAATTGTTCTAGAGAGATTGAGTGCCATAACATGTGGCTACTACATTGCTCGAAAAAATTCAAAAAACTTGGAACAACGCGACAACATTGTCTGTAAATGTCAAAAAAATATGGACAGTCTAATCAGAGTGTGTAACAGTATATAGGGTGTTCTATTAAAAAAAACTACGTTTAGTTGCAGAAGTAGAATACACATAAATCCGAAATGTTGAAGAATGTCATATAATCTTTATAGTATACATGTACCAAATATTTGGATTAATTTTAAGTTTATGTTCTATAAGTTGGGGGACCGTTTCACCATATTTTTCTTACTTACATTCTTGTGTCATTTATTTGTTTTTTTTTTTTTTTAATTAGATCCATTACCACCATCACACAGTACAACTATTAATTGTACGATTTTTGTTGTTACTTAAAAATGTGAGTTTAAAGATTGTTTGTGATCACTAATGTCTGCAGGACCAAAACATCCTCAACGTGCTCACTACGCTCGCATTTTAGAGGTTGATTTTTTCAGAATTTACCTTCACAGGAAAATCTCCAGGATTATTATAATAAAAACTAAGTAGCCTTGGTGACCATTTAACCGTAAAAGCTTTTATGACACTAATAAGAGCCGGTTTATAGAAAGCGAATTAAAGTTAATTCGCAATTAACTTTTAATTGAGGTCCGTTGCTACGCAACGTGCATGTTTTAACCAATTATTACTGGCTCATATTCTACATTTTAATCCTGTGTTAAATTAATTGAGAATTAAATATTTAATTCGCTTGTAAAGTACTTGTTGAGATAAGACTGAACAATGTTATGAGTAGTTACTAGAATGAAGAGGGGGTAGGTGGGCGGGGCTTATAAGACTCTCTAAAGAAAACCTAATCTCAAACCCGCCTTTTTTCCATTCACCAACTTCTTTTATTTACTGTAAAATGGAAATTGAATTCTATTTTGACAAGCGGTAGAATCTAAAATTTTAATTAAGGTCAAAAATGGCCCCGCCCACCCACCCTTGTTCCATTTTGATCACCCATTTTATTCGCTCTGAGACGGAAATTCTAGGATTATATATTTTTTTTTAATCAAATTTTGTTTACATAGTATAGCTTGCTCATAAAAGAAAGAGAAAAAAGCCAAAATTATCCCCGCCCACCCACCCGTTTTCTCATTTTTAGTCACTTCTATCAGTCTAAACTGCAAAAAAGAACGCTTAGAATGCGAGTGCAGCGAGCATATGCAGGTGATGTTATTAAAAATAATTCACTGGTGTTCTTGAGAAGCTAAATTATTAAATGAATAACCAGTTAATCTTTAAAGCAATTGTGATTACTAAAGTTGGGGTTCCCCGAATGTGCTCGCAGCGCTCATATTCCAAGTGTGTTTTTTAAAATCTAGAGATTTATTATTACAATTGAACGCAAACTTCGCTAATACTTTCTTGGATACTTCTAAAATTAAACTTTGAAAAAAGAAAAATTAGAATGCGAGCACAGCGAGCACGTTCAAGTTTTATTTTAAAAAAATTGGTCTAAAGTTACAAAATTTTCAGAAAAATGGGGTGAGCCGCTTTTAATTTGATCAATAAAGTAAAAAGGCTCATTCATTAATTTCTTTGTGTCATCCTGTATAAGCAATTATAAAAACTATGAATGCATTGATAAACCACAAGTGTGGAATATATGTATGTATTAATATTATGTATAAATATAATAATATTTTGCTTATGATAACTTTTAAACGTTTGGAAGATTTCAGAGCATTCCGTTTTGCCGTTTCAAAGTTAAATTGCAAAATGTTGTTATACAATTTTAATTTTTTCCAAAAATCTGGATGTCTAATAAAGATCCGGATAGACGGCAGACAGACGGATAGATGGAAACAAATCCTATTTTTTGTACTCCAGAGGTCATGAAACGTCGAGAAACCATAAAAGTAGCCAATCGTCCGACGGACTTGATTACAATGCATCCATAATTTACACACAGGAAACGAAAATCTAGCCAAATCATTCATTCGACTATGAAATTAGTGTTGAAAATCTTGAATGTCACCATACCATGTTACATAATATTAGAACAATACAGATTACAAAATAGATTCGTTATTTGTTTCTGCGTCATGCCTCTACGAGTATTGTTAACACAGTCCAAAAATAAACTTCAGCTGACGTAACACTATTTAGTAACCTGATTTTTTACAAACTTGGGTTTAATACGTTCAAACTAATTTTACTAGATGTCTTTTTTTAGTTTTTTTTTTTTTCACATATAACAGACGCCACTGCTAGTATCAGATTATCACAGCTACCTAAATTTAACCTCTGCTAAGACTTATTTTAACCTTCAGGGTACTTTCTATGCCGTCGGTGGCCGAAACAACGCCCCAGGCAACAGCTACGATTCCGATTGGGTCGACAAATACAACCCCGTCAAAGACCAATGGCGACCGTGCAGCCCCATGTCCGTACCAAGAAACCGCGTCGGAGTGGCCGTAATGGACGGTCTCCTCTACGCAGTGGGCGGCAGCGAAGGATCCAAGTACCACAACAGCGTCGAATGGTACCTCAATCCCAACTCCCCCCTTTCATTCATTCATTGTACCTTTTTTTAGCTATGACCCTGACTTGGACCGGTGGACTACAATAAAACCCATGCACTTCAAGCGCCTAGCCGTGGGTGTAGCCGTCGTGAACCGCCTTCTCTACGCCATAGGTGGTTACGATGGTATCCAGAGGCACAGCAGTGCCGAATGCTACCATCCCGAAAACAACACGTGGTCGATGATAGCCCCCATGCACACCCAGCGTAGCGGGGCGGGTGTGGCCGCGATCAACCAGTTCATATACGTGGTGGGTGGGTACGATGGGTCGAAACAGTTGAATACGGTGGAAAGGTACGATACAGAGAGGGACGTGTGGGAGTTCGTCGCTAGTATGAAGATTGCAAGAAGCGCCCTAAGTGTGACGGTGCTGGATTGCAAAATATATGCAATGGGTAGGTTTGGGTGTTCGTTGCTGACGGTGTTGCTCACTTGGTTGTTTCTAGGTGGATATAACGGTCAGGATTTTCTCGCGAATGTGGAGATTTACGATCCGATGGGGGATGCTTGGGAGGACGGAGAACCGCTAACTTCCGGGCGGTCGGGGCACACGAGTGCTGTGTGTTACCAGCCGCCGTGTACTCAGAAATGTAAAATTTTGTCGAATTTGAGTAGCAGTTCGTCTTCGTCGTCTTCTTCCACGGTTAAGTAAAATAAGACGGATTAGATTGTTTGAGATTATATTAGTCCTGACTGAAAACTAATGTGCATTTTTTTTGCATCGAGAGTTGTATATCTCATATATGTGATAATGTTTGTCTGACGAGTGTATGTTCTTTTTTCATTTTGTAATTAAGTGCAGTTAATGACCGGTATTTAATAATTTATTTGTGTATATATTTCGCATGAGTGAGTTTTCTTATGATTTTGTAGATACTTCCAAATAAATTTAAGTCTTTTATTGTTTGAGAATTACTGTGAGACAGTATTTATAAATGTTACAAATAAAACATTCCCGTTGCCTTAATGTGACTTTTATTTTTACCATGATGCCAATGAAGGCTATATTTTTACACCTTTTAATTCCCGTCAAACGACTTTCGCAACTCTGTTGCCATGTAAAGTGATTGGTGTCGAATAAAAACAATATTTCAGACATGTTTTTGTGCCTGACAATCTTTTGAAACAAATTGTGATGAGGTATCATTTAAATAGCAAAAGTCTCCAATGAAGCGCTGCCACCAAATATATTTTCTTACCTATGTAGTCACTTGAAAGGAAAAACCGTGTAAATTTAGCAAATTATAGTTTTGTTCTTTACTTATTTAAAGATTAAGATATGATTGCTAAATTTTCTTTTTAGTATTTTAGTTATATGTATTATTAAATACAAATTTATAACTCCAGCCCAAACTTAAATAGTGGCTCTTGTATTTGGCTGACACATTTTTCCTAAACAGGATCGGCTTATCTCTAGCGATATTAGCTTAAGATGCTCTTTATTTGCAAAAGAGAAGCTTGGAAAAGTCAAAGTCATAAAACCACGATATCTCTTGTGCCAGTATACACCTTGAACTTTTTTTTAAGTGTTATTTAAGTTCTGCGGTACTACATATTTTCCCTTATTCACTTTTAAAAAATATAAACGTTTCATTGAATCGCACGGTATATAAAAGCAACTATTGCAAATACCAAATGTAAAACACGTACATGTTTTCTAGCCGACCTACATATCATGTCAATGACTCAATTCAGAAATGCAATTCCAATAGCGAAACATCTTGAATCAGCAACAAACAAACTTGTTACAATAAACTCATGCACCGGACGTCAAGAACAAAAAATATTTTTATTTAAAAAAAATCACCTTGAAAAGCGACATTTTCAAAAAAATGACCTCGAAAGTCGACTTATAAAAACGCACTTCGGTGATTTCTCACTCACAAAAAGTAAAAATGTGGTCCAGTAGCGTTGCGATCGTAGTAATAATAATGGTGTGCCCACACCAATTTTTTTGTTATAATACAAATCGTCAAATTGTTCTTGTCAAAGACAACACCTGCGACTACTACGAAAATCCGCTCTTCAGGCCAAATTTTCTCCAAAGTCGCATGAAGGAAGTTGAACCGACATCGGTGATTTTGGTGGAAAACCGCATACGTAAGGAATCTCCGTACTACCATCATGTGTACCACAAAACTGGACCATCCGCCGATTCCAGCAAGTACCAACCCAAAGTTCCTGTGTCGTTTTTCCCAAATATAAAACCCATGAACATGATACGGTTTGAAAAAACTGACTTGCTGCAATCTCAGGAAGATCATAAAGAGGAAGAAGAAGATGAAATTAATATAGACTACGACAAACTCTGGAAAGTGGGTGAGATTCCAGAATCCAGAAGCATTCAAGCGTTGCCAGATGTGTACGTAAAACCTGGAGATGCTCCACCTATTGCCGACATGATGAGTATGGAAAGATCCGAACTGACCGAAGAAACGCATGACTTGGGGAATGTCGAAATTGAGGAAAAATATTTGAGTGATCCTCTTGCCGAAACGAGGGAGATAATATTTGAGAGGGTGACCACAAGACCGGAGCCGTCGTCTACAGAGAATCCAGTTCTCGCCATGTTTAAAGAAATTGACCTTTCGAAAATGAAGAAAGAGAATTTTATGAATTTGAACGAAAAGCAGCAGAGTGATCTGGCAAGCGACGTGGATCATAGTGTGGAGAGCACATCTACTGTAAATCCAGAAACGTAACAAAATTATTTAAATTATTTTGATTTTTGCAATTTTGTGATAGTGTTGCTATAATGTGGGACAATTAATTTATTTAATAAAGTATTGCAAAACAGCTTACACATCGTTTTTATTTTTATTAAGTAACCTGCGCGAAATGCAACACTGTTTATTGACCTTTGTACGTAAGAAATATACAGGGTGCTTAATTTTAAAATATGACAAATTTTGAAACAAAGTATATCAAGCAAAACCAAAAAGGTCCAGTTTTATCAGTCAATTTTTCACCCAGTTATATTTCATGAAAAAATGATAAAAGTTTCTGGTTATCAGTGCTAGAGTGATTTTCTTTTTTTGGTGACAACCCTACTAACATTATGTTACATATTCCCAAGAATGTAAGAAGTTAAATATAAGAGCAAAATAAATCGAAGATTTTTTATTTTGAATAAAAAGTGACGCAGCTTTTAAAATTTAGGACACCTAATTGAGAAATAAATTGTTAGCGCCGTACTTTAGCAGGTACCTAATAAAAATTGAGGTCATCGTAAATTTTGGTCTTTTTAACATATTTTAAGAGCAGAGTGGAACAAAATTCAGACTGTCGCTTTTTACTGTCATTTTGAGTTGTTTAAAACATTTGCAATTCGTCCAGTTCAAGTAAAAATTTTCATATCCATTTTCTCAATTTTATTCTGAAACCGCTGACGCCGCCAAACGCAACCACATAAATACGCCTCCAATTTCCTCATCGAACCAGTGACACCAAATCCATCGCCATGCAAGTGTCCCGTGCCCTGCAAGTGTTAGTGTTTTTCATCTGTGTTGCCTTTTCCCTCTCGGAAACAGACTTATCTCCGAAAAACGGCACAGATGTGGTCTCCAAGGATATAGATCCTGCAGTAGCAGTCCAACCCGAAGACATCAGCGACGCCACCCGCAAGAAGAAGTCAGCTACCGCGACCCTCTGCGTGGAAATCCGTCCCAGTGGACCCTACCAGCGTCCCTTCCAAATCTGCGAGCCAGCCGAATCCAAAGGTTACGGTTCTGCCCCAGCGGCCGCTCCTGCCCAAGGGTACTACCCCGCTCCAACGTACGAAGAGGTCAAGCAAAGCGCCGCCGCCACTTCCAAGCCCGCCGCCGCCTACGAGGCCCCCGTCAAAACCTACTCCGCCGCCGCAAAACCCACCTCAGCCCCGGCGTACGCTTCATCAAAGCCCTATGCAGCCCACTCGTCCTCCTCGTACAACTCGGTCTCCTACCGTTCAGAAGATGGACTGGAAGAAGATGGGGAAGAACACGCATCCGCTGAAGAAGCGGAACATATGAGGTCAGCAGGGGAAGAGTATGGGTTACCGATGACGTATATGCAACCAGCGATGAAGCACAAGCCGAAAAAGGGACACAATGGGTTGGTGATTACGTGTCAACCGTCTTTGGCGGGGTACGCAGCCACTGTGCCCAGTCATGGTGGTGGTGGTGGTGGTGGATATGGTGGATCGTATGGGGGTGCTTCATATGGCAGCTACAGGTCATCGTATGGAAGGTACGACAGGCCCAGTCCTTCAAGGGGTTATGGATATGCACCACCTCCAGTGTATAAGGCACCAGCTCCCGTTTACAAGGTACCAGCACCCTCTTATTCTTACAAAGCCCCTGCGCCTTCATACTCACCTCCAGTTTACAAACCTGCTCCCATCTATAAACCAGCTCCTGTTTATAGTGCCCCAGCACCGTCTTATGCTCCTCCTCCTGTTTATAAACCTGCTCCTGTGTATAGTCCTGCACCATCTTATGCTCCTCCCCCAGTTTATAAACCTGCTCCTGTTTATAGTGCCCCAGCACCATCTTATGCACCTCCTCCGGTTTATAAACCTGCTCCTGTTTATAGTCCTGCACCATCTTATGCCCCTCCCCCCGTTTATAAACCTGCTCCTGTATACAGTGCCCCTGCTCCTTCTTACAAACCTGCCCCAGTCTACAGCGCCCCAGCTCCTGCTCCTGTTTACAAACCTGCTCCATCTTATGCTCCACCGCCATCTTATGCTCCTGCTCCATCTTACGAGGCACCCAAACCATCCTACGCCCCCGCCCCGTCATACTCCCCACCCAAACCATCCTACTCTCCTCCCACGTCATACTCCCCACCCGAACCATCCTACGGGACTCCACCTGCTCACCCCGCTCCCTCATACTCTCCTCCCCCAGCTTACGCTCCAGCTCCCTCGTACGCCCCAGCTCCTAAACCCCACGTATCTTACACCCCTCCCGGCACTTATGGACCTCCCCCAAAACCACATAGCCCTCCTCCTAGTTACAGTCCTCCAGCTTATCGTGCAGCCGAAGAAACGATGCACGTGGAACCGACTACGCATGCCGCTCTGAGTCATGAGAGCAAAGAAACCCACACTGTGCACAAAATGACTCAGATTGCTGAAGCAAGAGAAGCAGAATCCAAGAAAGAACACATGTCAAGTGCCGGTTGGTCGAAATTAGAAGAGGGGGAAAATGCACACGCGAAAGTACAGATGTCGAGTCCAAGTTGGTCCAAAGCAGAAGGGGGGGAGGAAAAATCGGGACCAGTAGCGATGAGAGAATCTGAGAGGGGACACAAAGAAAACATGGGGGAGAATGAAGTTGATGCCGTTTAAGATTTATTGTACTTAAAAAAATGTATTGTAATTATTTTATAACTTTGTACATGTATTAATTTACATTAATTAAACAACTATTTATTATAAATATTTGTTCCTTTTATTTATTTTTGAAGTAAAGAACATCGATGAGAGTTGGGTAATTTTTCAAAGTCGTACTATCACTATATTTCCACCGTCATTGTACTGGGGGCTTAATATAAATTTCTCTGACTACCACCCCTTTGTCTAATAAGAGTGGTGCAGTAGGATTTTAATTTATAATATATACTAATTGAAAAAGTTACTAAATAAATTTAATGATTTTTGCTAGAAAATCTACAATTTAAACATGGTCTTTGTCTACGCTCCTTTTAGGTTTGTAGGTGAACCAACTTAATAGAAAAACAAAACTGCAGTAGCGTGAAGTTAGCGCACAATATGACATATGACATTTCTCAATTTTGACAATGACAGCTGTCAAAACAGAAACCACTTTGTTGTTAATGTAAGTTGTATTTTTCAGCTGTAAATAAATTGTTGAGCCAAAAGTGCTTCATCTACCTCAAAAACAATAAAAATGGCTATGAGACCAGACGACCATCGCCGAAAATGGGACAGAGACGAATACGAGCGGTTAGCTGAAGAGCGCAAACGAGAAGAAATAGAACGCATCGAAGAAGAAAGCAAAAAAAAGAAAGGCCCTCCGGTTAAACGCGAATTGTTAAAAACCCGAGATTACAAAGTAGATTTAGACTCAAAGCTCGGAAAGAGTATAGTGATTAATAAAAACACACCAACATCACAGTCTGGAGGTTATTATTGCAATGTCTGTGATTGTGTCGTTAAGGATTCCATCAACTTTCTGGACCACATCAACGGTAAAAAGCACCAGAGGAATTTGGGTATGTCGATGAGGGTGGAGAGGAGCTCACTGGATGCCGTGAAAAAGCGATTCGAACAAAATAAAAAGAAAATGGAGGAGAAGAAAAAGGATTATGATATGGCAGCGCGCATGCAGGAGATTGCCGAAGAGGAAGAGAAGTTGAGGGAATACCGGAGGGAAAAGAGGAAAGAGAAACGGAAAGCGGAGGAGATGGCGGACGAAGCGGAACAATCAAGTGAACTCGCTAGTATAATGGGGTTTGGCGGGTTTGGCTCGTCGAAGAAAAAATAACACAGGGGTACAAAGGATTTGTAATTTCGTTAGATTTAATTATTAAAATCGTGATTATTGCTACTTGAAGTACAAGTGAAGGCTTGGCTGTTAGGCTGAAATTGATAATGTAACAATCGCTTTTTCAGAATAAATGTACATTTGAATTTTCGTTATTAGTATTATTGTCCAAGTGGTATAACCTGTGTCCTAGTGGTTGCAGCCGAATAAAAATAATAATTTTGTTTAAATATTTATTACAGTAAGCATGACGACCATTCCTAACTGAAGCACAGCTGAAGGCTTTATTCTATCAGACTGAAAATGATAATGTAGCAATCTCTTTTTGAGAACAAATGATATACCTTATTTTCTTTTTTGATGTATTCTTCAGGCATGGGATCCTTTACGCTAGGGTCTTGTTTTACATTGTCACAATTTATTGTTAATATGCTGTCAATTATTGACTCTAGCAGTTCTTTAATTATGGCAGCGGCGCTATTTCCACATACTTTGGCGGTTTTAATGTAGTAGCAGTCAGCTATGTCTTTGTACGCTCTGAAAAAATTAATTGTGGTGACGTACACAGGCTACAGTTTCTACTTTTATTAGTTTTCTTTTCGAGTTAATGCGCATGGGCATACATTTTGGCGGGAATTTTATGATTTTAGTCTTCATCTGTGTTTGAATGACTCAAAATTACATTACTTTGGACTTACTTGCATACAGCATTGTTGTCAGAATTTTCGTTCCAGTCAGCCGGCCCTCCACAATCCTCTAAATCGTTCCTCAACTCATGCAAACACTTGTGAATTTCCTCGAACCCTACAAATCGTAACCTCACTATTTTTAAAAATCTAAAACCACTCACTCTTTCTGAACGGCGACTCTGTACAAATCTTGTCGTGCAGAGATTCAACCCCCTTAATTAACTGAAAATACAAGTCTGGCTGATTTGGTGGGGTGCACGTTTTCACATAATTTTGAATTTTGTCTAGATTTGCAGCAACTCGATTACACGATGGCGTGAGATCGTTTAAAGTGGCCAGTTTCACTATACTTTCTGGATTTATCACTTGAATTTCTGCAAGAAAGTTCATCAGGGTGTCTTCGTTGCAAGGGCCCGTTTCGTCTCGCTCGAAACGATTGTGATTAATTTCATCCTCGCTCAAAAACGAAGGATGGTACACAAATGCGCCTAAAACCAACGAAAAAGTAAATCAAAAACATAGTTAGTGCTTATCGTGACCACTTAATAGCGAATTTGTTGACAAAATGAAAAAAATGGGCACCCGCATTTTTTTGAAAGAAAGAAGTTGTGGAGTTTGGGCGACAGAGGGCGCTATTATTTGAATTTTTTTGATTTTCGTGCTTTCCTAAGTATTTGTTTAAAAACAATACACGTTTTGAAAATTAAGCGTGCATCCATCGGTGTATATTGAAAAAAATATTTTTTTATTTCTGGTTTTTAACTATGTACTTCGTAGAGGGCGCCACCAAAATTGTTTACAAGTTTGACAGACCGTGTCAAGCGAATTTAGCAACAAAATGTGGAAGTTGATCTTAATTTTTACAATAAAAAATGTTCTAGCGGACGAGATTTTCAGTAGTACTCATTCTGTGACAGACCAGTGTATAAGTTTATGTAAGGAAAATCAACTGCCTTTATTAGATTTGGTAATACTCTTTTTTTTTAATAAAATTTGTTTTACTGGTGGAACTTTGTAGGAAAACTACGAACAAATTGTTTGCCAACGAGGTTGTCGATTTTTCAACATTATTCATTTCAAAGATGAGTTAAATTTGAACACTACACGAAAGGAGTGTCATTTGTGTAAGTACAAAACACAGTTTTATCCACCTCATACACTTTTTTATAGCGTGTAACGAATCGTACATTGTTTCTAAAGAAAACGAGATTTGTTTAAAAGGCTGCGATTTAATGGCCAAGAAGCGCCAGAGTGACATGTCAATGTTTCTGGTTTTAACCGAGGAGGATGATTCACACAACATTGTTTTGGCAGAACCTGACTTAGAAATACTTGAATCAGATATTTTATCAGATCCAAGCATCAAAAGCCAGCTAGAAATTGGTTTTAATATTGATTATAAAATTCCAGAGACACACATAAGAACGATGCCTATTGAGTTTAAAGATGACACTGTAGTCATCAAAAGTAGTGAATACTCAGGTGATTGGTTGGATTGTGCTTCTAGAAACTCAGGAATACCTCGTTGGATTTTACTTACCGCTTTTCTGTCAGCTGTATTAGTCGCGTTGTGGTTGAGTTTTTCCACGGAGAAGAAAACGTCAGAAGAGGTAGTAGATGTAGACATTCCCGACGAGAAACTAATTTTAGAAAACGAAGAAAAAGATCCTGAATTACTGTTAGGTGAAAGCCAAGAGATTGGGTTCTCCACACCTCCAAAATATACCGTCGAAAGCGAGAAAGTCTAAATTTTTCAAGAGATTTTTTTTTCTTCAAAGCTACAAGGGGTAGTATCGTCTTGACGCTGTTTATTGTAAATGTAGTGGTTTCATTTCATCACTTGTTACTTACATGTTTTCAATGTGATTACCTTCTAGTCATTGTAGACTTATTTGTGTCACTCGTTAGAAACAAGCTACTGAAGTTGTTATTGGCGCACATGTATTTAAAGGTACAAGCTTTATTCCTTTTTTAAAACATTCAATTTTTGAACAATACGAAATATTTTCCGTAAATGTAATTTTATATTGTAAGACTTGGGACTTAATAAAAGGTTAATATTAACAATCTAATAATCTGCTGCAGTATTCGCTAAATAATCCCTCCGTCCGATATTGGAAGCTTGTTTGTTTTGAAGAGCTTCTAATTTTGGACAATCCGTGATCCTGTGACCCAAACCTCCACAATAACTGCAGCCTCTGTCATCTCCCAAGTTCAGGTACTTCTCGCTCTCTGAACACAATTCGCTCAAGAACGCGGGAACTTTTTGTTTGGCTTCCATTAATAAGTGTTTCAGGTCCAAAAGAACTGATTCGTCATTTGATTTGTTGATAAACGTCGTGGCTAAACCTTGCTTGCCGGACCGGCCAGTCCTGCCAATTCTGTGCACTGTGAATGAAAATACAATCAAGTAACTTCCACAATTAAATCCCTAAATTTACCGTAATTTTCCACGTCGTCGGGCATATCATAGTTTATCACATGTTGAATTTCAGGAAAATCCAGACCTTTAGACGCTACATCAGTGGCTACAAGGACATCTTTCTCGTGCTTGCGGAAAGCTTCCACAGACCTTGAACGCTCCTCTTGATCTAATAATGCACTGTTTATAAGATGTTTAAATAAATCGTTAAATTAGTACCTTTTCCGCCGTGAATCGCCACAGCTTCTACACCTTTCAGAAGTAAATATTCGTGAATGGCGTCCACGTCTTGTTTTTTCTCTGCAAAAATTAATACCGGAGGTGGCGTTTTCTGCAAACATTCCAACAAATACACGACTTTGGCTTCTTGTTTTACGTATTCAACTTCCTGGAAAAGAAATGTTGGAAAATTTCAAAGCGCGTTTGATTGTTTTACTTGTATGACGTTCATTGAAGCTGCTCCAGCTCGGCCCACGTTGATGGTAACCGGCTTGACTAAAGCCGAACGGGCAAAGTTTTGGATTTTTTTGGGCATTGTGGCGGAGAAAAGGAGCGTTTGTCTTTGTCCCTGAAAAAAATTATAAACTTCACAAACTATTTTAATAAAAGTGCTACAAGGATCTTGTCTTGGTCCTATTCATTTCTGTCTTTACGCAAATGATGTTACTTGCATATTTAATATTTCATCAAAACATACACAAAGTAATAAATAATAGAGAAAGATAGCAACAATGTACCTACATTAAAATACGAAAAAATAGTTCGTACGTCTTCCTCAAAACCCAAATCGATCATACGATCCGCCTCATCCATACACAAATAGCGACAAACCGACAATTTAACAATTTTTTTCTCCAGCATGTCCATTAATCGTCCGGGAGTTGCCACCATAATGTGGACACCTCTAAAAATCAAACTGAAATAAAAAAAAAACATTAAAAATGTTTGAAAATACCGTTGTATCACGTCAACGGCCTCTGACACCGGTACGCCCCCAATAGCCAAACAGCTTTTAATTTCAGGCAACCCATGTTTACGTAAACTACCACAGAAATGTTGGATAATATCAAACGTTTGTTTCGCTAATTCTCGCGATGGGCAAATTATGAGCCCATATGGGCCTTCATTTTTAATGAAAGGCAGTTTCACTTCTTGTTCTAGGCAAAACATGATGAGAGGGAGTACGAAAACTAGGGTCTTTCCGGAACCTGTAAATGCTATTCCAATCATGTCCCGGCCGGATAACCTGAAAAAATAATAATAGAATGAGCCAGAACAATGATTTTTTTATTAATATAAAAACATACACTGTTGGAATTCCCTGTATCTGAATGGGGGTTGGTTTCTTAATTTTCTTTTCTTTCAAGCCAGATATAATTCCTTCATGAAGTTTCATTTCTCTGAAAGATCTCAGAGGGGCGGGAATATCATCCCCCTCCACCAGAATTCGAAGATCATTCCTTATTTTTTCGTGTAGACTTTCAGGCATTGCTAGTATGTAACGTGGTGGGCGCCAGCTAGTTTTTATTGGCTCGCTATACTGAATACCCTTTGCTAACTCAGAAACACCCATCAAAGCTTTCTTCTCTGCTACTATTTCCAATATTTCTTCTTCTTTTTTTAACTGTCGTTCTACAGCACTCACCTTTTTGGCTACAATGAATACACACTAGTTATTAACATAATCACTACTTATATTATGTATTCGAATCTACCTTCTGCCAGTTTTTTAAGCTCTGTATGTTGATCCAACAACGATATATTATTTTTACGCCCCCATACTTCATCTTCTTCCTCGTCATCGTTCGTTTCATTTTCACTAGACGATTTTGGTTTATTTAATTCAGATTCTTTTAGCTGTAAATTTGGCATAAAAGGACATGAGTTGTAAACGTCGGAATACTAATACCTGTCCCAATCTTCCCAATTTCAATAGTTTGTGCTTCTTTCGTTCTTTAATCGGTACGTATGGGACGTAATTATCATCAGAATCTGACTTTTCGTCGTTTTCTTCACGTCTGTACCTCTACAAACAATTAAAATAAAAATTTTAAAGTTGAATTATGGTTAAATTTACCTTCACCGCAGGTACATTATCACCCATTGTACATTGTTTTGTTTTCAATGTTTTTACAAAATTGTCAAAAAATTTTAGGTTATGAAATAACACGATCGTTGACGTTGACGTACTATGATTTGCACAGCTAATTTGCGCTTGCGCAGTTTGTTTAATGTAAATGCGGCTTGCTGCGCATAATTAGAGATTACTGCGTAAATCAGTGATCATGGTCATACAGGAGCTAGGTCAGGAGTTTCACGCGATAAAGGTGTCCTCAACACACTTCTTTTATTCGTTTGTCTGTCTGTTTATTTTCTCGCGTTTGTCTTTCGCTTCGCTATAAAGAGCACTATTAATTTCTTACTACTTTTGTTGTAATTGCTGATTCGAGTTTTATTCTGCCATGACACATCTTCCCGGGGTTTTTGCTGAGCATGGAATTTCAGTCGTGGAGCAGTGGAAGATTGTGTCCCATGATTTTTCGTCATCCGTCTGTCTGGCCGTCTTTACAATTAAGTTACGCCTCTCGGCTTACGACGAATAAAAAAAATCATCAGAATTGAGACACGTTGGGTGGGCGGGGTTTATATTTTGCCTTTTTTTCTTAATATACATAGCCATCTTTTCACAACAAGAAACTTAAAACATGTTTAAAATAGCATATTTTGCAAGGAAATATAGATTTTGCGATCATGGGGCCGAGCCTAATTGGAAAATTGATATTTCCTTATACAATTTTTCCATTTTAAACATGTTCTAAGTTTCATGTTGTGAAAAGAAGTCTACACATATTAAAACAAAACGGCATAATGTAGGCCCGCCCACCCGCCCTGTCTCAACTGTGATGATTTTTTTTTATTCGCCGTGAACCAAGGGGGCGGAGCTTGGCTGCAAAATTCTTATTTCTTTACAAACAATTAAAAACAAGTTTTTGAGTATCGTGGTGTTCAAAGAATACTATGTACATAAAACAAAAAAAGGCAAATGATGATTTTTTTTCTTAGAAACTTAAAACACGTTTAAAGTGGTAAATTTTTGTAGGGAAATATGTATTTTGCAATTAGAGTCCGCCCCTAGGCCTGACAACGAATGAAAACTTCTTACTATGTAGATCGGAGCAGGTATGGGTGGGGTTTAATCTTTGGGTTTAAGTTTTTCTTAATATACGTAGTATTCTTTGAACAACACGATACTCAAAAACATGTTTTTAATTTCTCGTATAGAAATAAGGATTTTGCAGTTAAGATTCGCCCCTTTGGCTCCCAACGAATAAAAAAAAATCATTACAATTGAGATAGGGCGGGTGGGTGGGGCTTATATTTTGCCATTTTTTCTTAATATATGTAGACTTATTTCGACAACAAGAAACTTACAACATGTCTAAAATGGTTGTCGTAATCAACTTTTCTTTTCTTCTACAACCCCTTAAATACGGCAAACGTCGAAGTTACGTTACTATCAACAGCAACTTTGTAACGGAGTTTATAAATGACAGTTTTCAGCTCTAAAAGCAGCCTGAATTTTACCATTTAACTCTGGCAACACTGGATGTATGGTTGATTTCTTTTTCAGACTGACATTTAACTCCTAAAGTATTAAAAAATAGGTCTCCCGTTTCCGTCGGTTTCTCGTCTGTAGTCTGTAATTTGTTGGCAGTTTTGTTAGATAGGCAATCACCGAAATTACTGAAATGATTGTTGTGAGATTTTAAACCTATGTATTTTGCCAATAATACCAACAATTTGATGATGTCACTTCGAAATTTTGCATAGTAAATGTTATTTAATTTTATAAAATAACATACCTGTGGTTTGTGAATCCAGCTTGATTTTTTTAGCTTCAACATTCAGTCTTTTGCGAAAAAATTAACATTTTACAATTTAACTCAGAAACTACCAAACCGATTGCACTGAAATCTTGCAAAAGTTTTAAGGTTATCGTAATCATGGCAAATCATTAATTAAAATTTATCCCCCTCCAATAATTTGATGCGTCACCCCAAAATTTTGCTGGATAAACTCTAACTAAAATATGCAAGATGACTTTATACAGTTTTGGTTTAACAAGGCATTAAAATTTGTAAACATAAAAATTTAATGAATGAAGCAAATTTTGGGAATGTAATAGGTATGTATAGTTTACGAAATATCGTTGTACCCTATAAAATTTTGTTAACAATAATTTCATAGGGTACAACGATATTTCGTAAACTATATTGGTATTACCGTTATTTAGTATTGTGCCTATGAAAGTTGATATTATGTAATCATGGCTAAAAAGTTGATTACTTTACTTGCATAAAAGTTCATAGGTATTTCAGATTGACCACTAGACCACGAGGCCGGTTATCTTTCTCGCTTACTACTACTTCTTATTGTGTCACCACACAGATTACAGGGATTATTACTAAAAGTAAATGAGTTAATTGTATAATTTTATAATACTGCGTCCAAAAAAATGTCTTCAAATTTGCAATGGACGAGCAAGATAATCACGATACCTGATAGTCTAGTGGTCAGAATAACCGCTCCCCACTTCCACACTCTCTATCTATCATGCTCTACGTGCGCTGGTCACAGTTTTCCTTTATCTAAAATTTTGTTATCCATTCACATTGTGACTAATAATACAAGCTCTTTGATGTCTATAACTGTCTATAACTGTATGTTTTTTTTTATTTAATTTGTAGCCGATTTATTGCAAAATAGCACAATTTAGGTTTCACATGAGTAAGTAGAAATGTCTTAAAATAAGTATACAAATGATGGTTTAAAACATAATACTTGCTAAAAGAACGATATGCAGACATACTGAAAACATTCAAAATTTTATGCTTTCGTTTTCAGGAAAAAATTTAGAACTTTTATTTTTAACAAAATTCGGCAGTGAATTCCAGAATTGCAATTTTTAACTTCTTGAGTGTAAGCAAGGTATTGTGGTATCACTTTGACGAAAACAAAGGAAGTATTGTAATCGAGTCCGTCGGCCGACTCTCTATTTTTGCGTTTTCTTGGCCTTTCATAACCCCTAGAGTACGAAGAAATAGGTCTCCCTTTTCATTAGACAGATGATCTCTGGAAGTACTGGGCCGATTGTTGTAAAATTTTGAATTTATATTAGGAAAATGGATTTTAAATTGTGTTGAGTTTTTACCCGAAAAGTCCAGATTTTTGGAAAAAAAAACAAAACTATTAAACAACATTTTGCAATTTAATTTTGAATTTTCAAAACCGAATGCTTTGAAAGCTTGCAGCTGTTTTAAGGTTATGATAGGCATGATGACGTCAGCTCAAAATTTTACCGAAAAAATCCTATCTAAAATATGTCTGTACTTGTGATTAATCATTCCATTCATATTTTTTTGATTTGCTTATTACAGAGTGACCCAAAAAATAATGAATGCGTACAAAATTGAATGCTTTGAAATCTTGGAGATGTTTTAAAGTTATCAAAAGCATATTAAATTTTTGATCAAAATGTATTTCCTCATCCTCCCTAAAAAATTGATGACGTCACCTCAAAATTTTGCTGAACAAATCCTATCTTAAATGTGCAAAGTATGATGAGTCTATACTTGTGGTTTATCACTGCATTAATATTTTTTAGATTTGCTTATACAGGGTGTTTCACAAAAATTAATGAGTGAGTCAGTTTATGTTATTGAATAAATCAAGAATTGCAAAACTGAATACTTTGAAATCTTGTAGACGTTTTGAAGTTATTGTAAGCATGGTAACTTTTTAATCAAAATGTATCTGTTTATCAACCCCAAAAAATTGATTATGCCATCTCAAAATTTTGCCAAAAAAATCCTACCTAAAATGTTCAAAATATGATGAGTCTGTACTTGTGTTTTATCATTCTAGTAATATTTTTTTGATTTCCATATACTCGTACAAGCTGACTCAAAAAATTAATGAATCAGTCAATTTATTTTATTGAATAAATCAAGAATTGGAAAATTGAATGCTTACTCCTTAATAGTTTTGATCCTCTGTTTTGAGGGACGAACTCATTCGAATCAAACTAATTTCTACGTGACATTCTTCCGAATTATAAACATAAACACTTTCAAGTTGTTTTTCTTATCGAAGGATATAAGTCTGTGAAATGAAGAAAAGAGATGGCTACTTTAGCTTTTTTCTAGTTTTATGAGCAAGTAGTAGCCCCGTCCACCCACCCCTTCTTCGTTCCAGTCACTACTCTTAATATTGTTCAGTCCTATCTTAGCAAGTTTTAGCCCCGCCCACCCACCCTTTTTTTTGGAAGATATGTCATTTACCAAAATCAATCGTATCTTAACACGTACTAGCCCCGCCCGCCCGCCCTCTATTGTTTTGAGGGTATGTCATATACTAAAATAAATCTTATCTTAGCTGATACTAGCCCCGCCCTTTCATTCGGAGAAGACAAAATGAATCACTGAAATGGAGACAGGGTGGGTGGGCGGGGTCAATTATGTGTTCTTTTGTAAAGCGGGAATGGGAACTAATAGAACGTAGGCTGTTAAAAAAAAAGTTAATCATAATTCTTTTGTTATACTACTTATTTCTTATTTCTGAAGAAAAAAATGGAAGAACGGGTGGGTGGGCGGGGGTAAGTTTAACTTTATCCCATATAATCTTTTATAAGCAAGCAATAGCCCCGCCCTCCCACCCTCTCTTCATTGCAGTGATTACTCTTAATATTGTTCAGTCATTTATCAAAATCAATCTTATCTTAGCTGATATTAGAACCGCTCACACACGCTGTTCACATTTTAACGATTTTATCTCCCTTCAGTTGAGATCCACCTTTCATTCGGACTATACAAAATGAATCACTGAAATGGAGGAGGGTGGGTGGGTGGGTGGCTGGGTGGGGTCAATTATATGTTCTTTTATAAAGCAAGAATGGGAACTAATACAACGTAGGCTGTTAAAAAAAAGCGTTAATCGTAATGCTGTTGTTATACTATTTGTTTGTTATAATATTTATTTTTTATTTCTGAAAAAAAAAAATGAGGGAACTGGTGGGTGGGCGAGACTAAGTTCAACTTTCTGCTACAGAATATTTTATAAGCAAGCAACATTATAAAACAACATTTTGCAATTTAAATTAAAGAAAATTAATGAATACGTGAATTTATTTTATTGATTTAGGGCCGGTTTATCAATGCGCAGTTAAGTTAAAGTAACTGGCAGTTAAAGCTTGTCTGTGAGTTAACCTGTTTATCATTACCCGCTAGCTCAAAACTGGTGGTCAAAGTGCCTGATAAATTAACTGACAGTTCAAACTGTCAGTTAAAGCGTTATCCACCAGTTAGTGGCAACATAACCTAACAAATCCAAATAAATCTGTTTGAATTTAACAATATTTTAATGAGGACTTATGTTGTGCAACAAATTGACAGAGAAAAAAATGAGAAAAACACTTATTATTAGCTGATTATTTTCCAGGTCTAATGTAGGTACCAAAAATTAAAACCTATCTAGGTAATAACTAGGTAATAATACCGCGAGATCGAAAAAGAAATTAATCGAAGTAGGCCATGCACGACAAGCCGTTTGTCGTAATCACGGTGGTAGGGTAATTTAATTTTTTTAATTAAATGTCAAATTGACAGTTTAAAATTAGAATTATGACGCCTACTTTTAAAACACATAAGAATGAATTAAAATCACCGTTTTCCAATTTTGTCTAAAATTTATCCCATTTCTGAAGATTCTAATAACAAAAAAGCTTTAATTTCGTTTGATAACAGTGCAAATCACTTTTGTCAACGTGACGATTAATAAAAAAATATTTTAAACTAAGGCAAACGCCTTTTCGTGCATGGCCAACTTTGATTAATTTCTTTTTCGATCTCTCTGTATTTATTTATAGGTGTACCTACTTGTTTCATTTTTAATTTCCAATACTTTTTTTCTAATGCTAAATTTTGCTTTTTCATGATTGATCACGTGAAACGCGATATATATAACTATATACAATTGTTGAATACCGAATGCGGATCGAATCTGATGGAACTTTCAAGGTCGGGGTAGTTTTGAACTGACCAATCACAACTCATTTCCAGTGGGGTGAGCGTTACCAACTTAAGAGAGTAACAGCTAAACTTCGAGCTACGAAACTGGAAGAAACATCGTGCATTGATAAACACTTTACCTCCGTTAACTGCTAGTTACCCTTATCTGACAGTTACTTAACAGACACTTTTAACTGAGCATTGATAAACCGGCCCTTAGTCAGGAACTACAAATCCGAATGCTTTAAAATATTGGAGATGTTTTAAAGTTAAATGTATTCCTCATCCCCCTAAAAATTCAAAATTTTGCTGAATAAATCCTATCTTAAATGTGCAAAATACTTCAAAACTGAATACTTTCAAATCTTGCAGACGTTTTGAAGTTATTGTAAGCATGGTAACTTTTTAATCAAAATCTTTTAATTCTTCGAAAGAGCTAGATTTGACAAGCTGTACTTTATGGCTGAGGAAAGTTCTGTGGAAGTAATTTTAGACCAATTTTTTTTATCCTTATTAAATACATATTATTACAATAACTGGTTTTATGGTGCGGAAATAAAATAATGAAGTAGCTTGAAATATATACTTTTTTCGTATTAGTTTATTTTTTTACATTTCTGCTGTACCAGCCAGTTAGCGGGTGATATTGTTAAATTTGTTTTTGAAGTGACATTGCGCCACAACGTTTTATGATTCAACATGTGATAACTGCAGTTATGCAATGCGCCAAATTATGTATTATAATATTGGCACTAAACTCAAATCCATAAGGTTGTAACCACTCCCTAGTGTAAATTTTAAAAAATTATTCAGTGTAAATCTGTCTTTTAGTAGCCTGGTGACATATCTGGTGACCTGTCAATATAATGTCAGTTCATTCATGTATTCGCGACACATGATTACGTTCGACTTCACTGCAACTCTTGCACTCCTGCACAGGTTATTTCATAATTATCATTGTAACTTGTCGCAATATTGTAAAAATTGATAAACAATTTTCAATGAAAACAGGATAACCTGAGTCTTCATGGTAATTATGATACAAGAGCAACGATAAATAGAAACGTGTTTTATCTTTCATCTGTAGAAAGAAGAATGCCACCTGCTGTAATTTAGACTTGCAGTTGATACGTTTACGAATTACGATAAAATGAAGCCAAAAATATTGTGGTCACGAATGAAAACAAATGTTGGGTTGGTAAAAAAACAAGGTGAATTGATTTATTTATTGTTGCTGCTTCATAAAAATTACTTTACAGATGGGGAATAACTGAGATATTCAGAATTTGTTTAAATTATTGTACATGAGTATACGTGATAATTATATGTGTGGCTAACTATGATATGATATGACTCGAAGGACCAGCTCTCTCGGCTGAAATGATCAATTTCGCGAGCAACACCAAAATTGTCTATAATGGGTAGATCACCTTAATTAGTCGCAACGGATGACCAATTTTTCATCAAAAAAATGGGACACCAACAAGTCTTTAACGTTATGTTTAATAACTCTAATATTTGGTACTACTTATTATTTACAAAGTGTACAAGGAATTTGGTTGAAGGCGATAGGTCTGGCTATGCTCCTCCGTCCTGAGGATTTTAGTGGTAATAATGAACAAAATGGAACTTCACAAAATTCAGAGGCTAAAATAATACGTATGTTGAAAATAATTTGACTGCTTATTTAAACTTACTGTTACAGGAGTGGTTAGAAACATTGGGAACACATAGACCAAATAACCAAAAAGCAATTATTTTTCTGTTGTTAACTTTCTTAGATCTGAATCCCATGGATTTTAATACTCGATGTAAAGTATTTAAACTTGCTGTATATTCTGGATGTTCTTTCGCAAAAATAAACAAATCCTGAAGAGTAAAAAACTCATTTTTTTTGCTTTTGTCAAATATACGGTAGGTTAGATCTTTAAATTCCAAATTTGAATACCACTGCGATTTTGTTTTGGTTTCCACTTTGCTTCTTGTAACGGTTCTCCAGATTGGTGTTGGGTTATAATTTTGTGGGCTTGACATCGGGAACACTATGAAAAGGATACGAATTAATGATAAGTTTACAGGGAAAGTCGGAAAGTTTATGCAGTGTTTGAATTTAATGAGGGACATTTAGTTGTATTGTGTAGGATATAAAGAGTGGGTATAAAACTTGAAAAGACAATGTTGTACTAAAAAGCGAGATATACACTTTCAACTTGAGGTAGTTAAAACTAAAAGTCCTTCGACAGACCACCGTGTTGTGAAAAAAGTTCCGAATGTCGATACGTTACTCTCATAGTATAGTACTCTCTTTCCATGGTATAAGAATAACTAAGTATATACTGAAAAGATTTTTACAAGCTTGAATTCAAGTTCTCGGGACGATGCTTAGGGATAAGCAAGTTTCAATTCATTGTGGCAGTTGGCAAGTGCCATTTTCATCTGCTTATTTATCACAATATGCCGTGTTGGTACCATTTTTCAATGATATGGTTTAATAACAAACTGTGAGATATTTAAATAAAACTCTCTCGTGCGTAATTGTCAAATTTTGACACATGCGCCGTTACCAATCTGTTCATGTGAAAAACACCATTGGCTGTAATGCCAACCTTACAATTTAACGAGTGGTTACAACCTTATGGATTTAACTGTAGGTGTCGCTGTAGAACATTTGATTTACGTCATAGTTGCTGACGTCACACTATTTCGTTTATAGATTTCGCTAATCGAAGTCATGTCTTCATAATAATTAGCGTACACAAATATATAGTCACATTTTTAAAATATTGCGTCGTTAAATTTTAACACCTGCGACGTTAGCTCTTACGAAAAGTCAAGAACATATTTGTAACTACTTTAAATTACAGACGTCACTTTACGAAAGTAAAGTTAGAAATATTGAATAAATATGCGATAAAAACTAACAACGGTTTTGTGCGCATAGCTTGTTTTGATCACGAATTTTTGTCGTTAAATAGCTTCGAAGACTAGATAAAAGATGTCACTTTAAAAGTTGAACCAAATTTTACAAATTATTCGAATAAAAGGTGATGTAAAGTTATCCCAGTGGCTTTTTTTGCTAATAATAGCTTTAATTGTTCCAATTCCGTTAAATTTCCGCACTCTAGTGTTCAAATTAATTTTTTACAGATTTTTATCTTATCGACGGGCTCTTTTTATTTACATTTTTGTCAGTCACAGTCCAGCCGGCCAAGTTTCTAGAATTTTTCCTCGCGTGCCTCAAGCGAAAACAAGTGCATACATTTGAAATTCACAAATAAAGCCATTTAAACCAATCAAAAATGAGTTGCCCGTTTTCAAAAGAGTCCTTGGACAAATTAAAACAATTTATTGACGTTTGTGCGGCAAATCCCGACTTGCTATCATTACCAGATTTAAATTTTTTCAAAGAGTTCATCGAATCGTTCGGGGGCAAAGTACCTCCACCTGCCACAAAAATGAGCGCAGAAACCCCCGCAGAAGCGCCCCCCGAAGTCGCCTCTGAACCAGAATCCGAACCCGAGTCAGAATTGGAGATCGACAACGAAGGTTGCGTCGAAGCAGACACCATCGACGAAAAGCAGAAAATGGGAGATCAGAATAAAGAAGTGAGCGAAGAAGATAGCGACAAGTCTGACGAGAAACGCGGGGAAGCCATCGGACAATTCTCGGAGGGGAATTTCGATAAAGCCATTGAACTGTACACTGAAGCAATCGAACTGAATCCATCCTCTGCCTTGTTGTTTGCGAAAAGAGGCCAAGCTTATTTAAAACTGACAAAACCCAATGCGTGCATTCAAGACTGTTCTAAAGCTCTGGAGCTTAATCCTGATTCAGCGGCCGCTTATAAGTTCCGAGGGCGCGCTTTTCGGCTTTTGGGAGAATGGGAGAAGGCCGCGAAGGATTTGCGACAAGCGTGCAATATTGATTTTGACGAGCAGACTGACGAATGGCTGAAGGAAGTAACACCAAATGCTAAAAAAATTGAGCAACACAAAATTAAGTTGGAGAGGAAGAAACTGGAGAAAGAGGAAAAGGAGAAGTTGGAGAGGGCCAGGAAGGCGAGGGAAGCTCACGCGAAGGCTAGTACTGCTGCGCAGAACGAGCCGAAGCCAGATCAGAAGCCTGAGGATTCGACAAAATATGAAGATTTTTATAGCTTTTTACGAAATCCTGATATTATGGCTGCTTTTGCTGATCCTGTAGTAGCGGCCGCATTCGAGGATGTTTCTACAAATCCTGGCAATTTTTACAAGTATAAGAATAATCCTAAAGTTATGGCTTTGATTACTAAGTTATCTGAGAAATTGGCCGCCAGTGGAGCAGGGTCTGGGAACATTCCCGGATTTCCTGCTGGATTTCCAGGACCTGGAGGGATGCCGGGAGGTGGAGCGGCGCCACCACCAACATTCCAACCCCCTGATGATGACAACCTGGATTAAATCTCAGTGCATTATATATACGTTTTGAATTAGTGCATGAAGGCTGATGTTATGGTTATTTTTATCCCAATTACTATTTGTTAATCAAAGAAGGGAAGTTATTGGAAATTTAACATTTTATTCTGCATGGAGTACAGTAAATTTTTTGTTAAGGGAACAAAAATTTAATAAAAATTAAAAACTTACTTGTGGTCATTTATAATACTATGCTGAGATATTAAAAGTTGTGTTTGTAGATTTACAGACACTCAAAGCTTCAATTTAAACCTACTTAACCTGTAAGAAGATTATCCAACTTTGGGTGTTAAAAACTAATTTAATATCACATTGTTTACATGTCACAAAAGTGTGCCCTAATTTACTACCTAATTAATTTGGATTTTGTTGAAAATTCACTGAGTACCCTCCTGTGTTAGGATCCTGTTGGAGTTGGAAATTATTTGTAGACAGGCCAAAAGGCCTCAAGAACATATTTCCCAAATCTTTAAGTTTCCCTACAACATATTTATAAGTAAAAACCTTCCCACAACATAGACTTACCAAGCATTTCAGTTTTAAGTTTTTCATTTCTTTCATTTATTAAAGGTGGTAGCCGATGGATAGCCCCCAGCGCCTCTTTATTTCCAGGGTCTAACTCCACGATTTTTTTGTAGTCTTCTAAACTCTCATCCAACTTATCTGTTTCTTCATACAACTTTGCTCTTCTTAAATAGGCCCTAACATACTTATCGTTCAATGATACAGCTTTCGTACAATCATCTATTGCACTAGCTTTCCTTTCAACCTTAATCTTGGAAGCTGCTCTATTTGCATATAAAATCGCCCTATCATTTCCAAACTTCAATGGACAAAACCGTAATGCCTCAGTGTAAGTTTCTATAGATTCTAAATATTTACTACTTTTGAATTCCTCGTTACCCCGATTTTTCAAAACTATCGCCTCCTGTCTTTTCACCTCTTTCTCTTCATCTGTTAGATCGAGATCTTGATTCTTAAGTTCTTCATCATCCGAATCGTCTAAAATGCCCTCAGGTCGAGATTCTTCAAGTTTATTGGATTCGGTGTCTGAAGCGTCGAAATCTTCGGGAATAGGGGCTTTGGGATCCTCATTTTCAGAATTTTCAACGCTGAATTGTGCGTCTCTCAAATCTTTGGTTAGTTCTTCAATAACTTCTTCGTTTGAGGGAGTTTGGTCGCTTTTTTTACTTGACATGATTAGAATTGGTCCAGAATATGATAACACAAGCAAAAGCAAGAGTTTTTGTAAATTTAAAACAAGATTTCAGCACTTGATCATGGCAACTTTTCACCGACTAGTCACAGCTGTCACTTTTATGTTTGACAGAAATGACAATTCATTCCTAATTACAAGCTATGGTTACAAGAGTTTTTGATTTGTGGGTTATGTTGGTAGAACTGGATTTCTGACGCCATAAACTTCAAAATTCAAACTTGTTTGGCATGATTGAACAAAAGTGCAGTGCTCATCTGATTAGTTTTTAGGATTTCTAACAGTCATTTACAGTTTCAAGTGAAGTGTGCAGTTCTAACATTATTAGTGTCCGTACTGTCAGGGTTGCTCTATTTGACGGTTCTGAAGATAAAGAGAAGTGTGCAGTTCTAATGTTCTAACCTTATTGGTGTCCCTGCTGCTAGGGGTTGCTGTTTTTGGCGGTTCTGAAGACCGGTGACTTTGTGAGGAAGAACAATGCTGTAATTGTACAGATGGTTACTGTGTGTTGTGTGGTCTTAAGATGGTGGGCAGGAACAGGAACCTGAAATCTGAAATATCTTGGCCTCTGTACTTAAACTGTAATGTTCCTATGTGTCTGACACTCTTGAAAGTTAAGCATGGAAGGGTGTACTTATTAACAAACAGGGCGTTGACAGCACAAGGTTTGTCGTAAGTTAAACAAAATGATCGTCGAGCGCCAATTTGAGGACGTTTTTTGTTGATCACATGTTACATGAACATTGTGATGCAAACTATTGTCCTGATCAGTGACGGTCATTTTGCGAAAATTACTGCGGTGAGTCATCTGACCGTTATTTTGGTTACTGTTTTGGTCATATTAAAAAATACTATTCACAGCAGTGTCTGTGGTAGTATAGTGACCAGATTTGAATTAAAATTTCGCTCTTAAAAAACAAACAAACGGCACGAAATCGCATTTGAATAATTTGAATTTGAAAAAAAATTCAATCAAGAAAATCGTTAAACTTAGACAACCATGTGCACGTTTAGTTCGTTTTTGGTAGTTGGTAGCTCTCCTAGGAAATTTCGGGGGAGTATTTAAGTGAGAGGGCTGGTAGTGAAATTTACTTGTTTGGTAGAGGGTGATGGCGCGGCACTGTTGTTTTGGTTAAAGTCCCTAGAAAACACATAGTATCGTTATCGTAAATTTACCAAAAACAAAAATTACTAACACCCTTTGACAGACCGCAAAATTTAAAATAGTTTTATGTTGGATTTAAAGTTTGTAGTTTATACATAAAAATTGGATTTTTAATTTGAATATAAAAAAAGTGTTGGTTTAATAAATATTACCTAATTAAACATATAATTTCATCAATAGAATCTTATTTAAAAATTAATAATTATATTAATTGATGATTTTAAATCAAACACAAAATTTGTTTATACAGTTTTTTATTCATTGAATAACTACTATATACATTTTATGAGGTTTTGCATCACTTGCCTTGATAACAAAAAAGATTTCTGGCACGTAAATACTGGTTTACAATTTTTTTTTTATTTTGCTACACTGACAGGTACAGTTGTCCCAAGACTGAATCCTAATATTAAATTAAAACACTGTTGAACCACTAATATAACGACTCTAAACAAGAATAATGTACACGTCGCGACCACGTGACACCATTTACGTGTTGTCAACTCTGGTGACAAAATTTGGTTCCAAACCAAGGGAATTTTTTGCGTTATCAACTGCATTGGCTCCAATCGTACAACAATGGATGACGATACTATGTATTTCTAGGGGCTATAGTTTTGGTTTGGTGAGTGAAAGCATGCGGTAAGGAAGCTAGGTTAAGTTTAGTTGACTTGGTAGTTAATAAAAAAAGGAGAGCTTTTGTTTTACGAAAATTAATCGTAACGACAACGAGGCCACAGTTTACCCAACACGCGTAGCTGCTAATTCTTGCAGTTTTTCGAAGCGGAAATATGCGAATTTTCGACCGACGCCAACACGTGGTGTAAATTTGTTTTATTGTTTGTAAATTCACAGTTCATGTTAGGATTTTGATCGACAACTGGTTCTAATACAATTTAACGGTTCTAAGATTGTTAAAAAAGCACTTGCTAGGCGATTTCATGAAATTCACTTAGTCAGGACTCATCTTTTGTTTATCAAGTTATAAATAAGTTTATGGACGCGTATACTTAAGTGTTATATTATAACACTTCTTAATTCCTCACACAAGATTGCTAGTTCATTTACGGCAGTTCAATTAACCTAATGTTGTCCCACTCTGGGAACAGGATCGTGAAAGTGCGATAGACTTCAAATATCGAGGGGATTAAATTTTTCCCCTTAGGCAGTTATCATCGTAATCATCATCACATCACCGAGACATTTTCTCGCAACGTTGAAAATTACACTATCGAGAAGTATTTCTGGATGCATTTTGTGTATCATGTGTTTTGTTTGGGGTAAGCTGGGGATAGTCCACGATATAAACTCTCAAACCTAATTGTTTTAAGTAACCAATTATTTGTATAAAGTGTGGCATAATTTAACATCAGGTAAATCCTTTGCTTGAATCATTGATAAAGTGTGGCAAATATTAAACTATGTAATGTTTTGTTTGCACGCGTTTTACTTCACACCAGATCTTTTTTGTTTTATAAATCTTCGCTAGTTTTTTTTTACCACATAAATATTTTGTTGATTAATGCTTCCATCATATACAATAGTTTAATGTCCAATCTTAATCTCAGATAAGAGTTCTTTACTGTTTAAAATTTCACGAGGGTGTATGGCGAATTTAAATGTTCTTTATTGCTTTTTTTGAAACTTTAACACTTGTTCACTTGTAGTTTAATATCAGAGTCATAGAAATTGAACAATTAAATGGAGTTGAGGTAAATAACACAAAACATGTGGCAGAAGCGGAGGGCGCGGTTCCTAGTCGAGCTAGCTGGATTTGTCGTGCCATCTGCACAAAAGACACAGATTTTGGATGGAGATCATGCTGGGTGGCATGTGCTTGCCGATAGAGTAGAATCACCGTCGTGGTGCGAGAACAGCCACAACCAGGAGACCCGAACTCCGCTTGTGCTACAACGCCCCCTATAGGTAATATTGCTGTGTTCTAGAATGAAATTGATATAGCTACATACAATTTTTGTTAAAATTTTGTTTTCTTGTTGACTGCCATAATTTAAATTTACCGCTGCACGTCCGTAATATCTTCTGTATTAGCATCCAGTTACTTTAATTCAAATTTTTCTTAGTTTTTATTAAATTTGTGATATCCAGATTTGATTTCAGTCAAAGTTTGGCAAGTTTTTTTTTTGTAGCTGAACATTAAGAAGTGTCTTCAACCGGCACAGTTTAGTCGCAGCTTTTTTTTCCAACCTTGGGGTCCACCACTTTCATCTGAACGCATTCCGCCACAAAAAAAAAAAACAGTGTAGGGTTCCATTTTGTAGACGATCACAGCCAAGGCCAAATTTTTGAAATTTTGAATTTTTCCCGGCCTTTCAAACTTTTTCAAGTGGCAATTAAAGGCGGGGTGATTGAGTTATCACAGTAGGTAGAATAGAACAATGACTTATAGCGGGTGTACAATTAAAAATATATTTGGAGTAGGCGCTGGAATTAGTAATTGCCGTTTTTGATAACAGGGTAATTATTTTCGGAGACTAAGCAGCAACCAAATATACTGAATGTTCCATCCTTACTGCTTTATATACAGTCGATTTGACGTACTAATGGATATTTTGACTTTTAACCTTACTCATCAATTTTTCGCGGTTTATTGTTATTTAATCTTTTGCTTTCTTTGCGTGATAAAGGTCAGTTCTTTTCAAAACTAGTGTGTGAGTTTTGCTGTTTCCGACATTTTTACCAGAATGGCTTTTTCTAAGCAACACAGTATTCATCAGTCTTACTATCGAAACTGGAACTTGACAATATTCAATTGGGTACATATGGAAGATTTCAAGAAGAGTACAAGCAGTTTAGACAAACTTTAAAAGTTTGTTTAAAAAATTTACAAGAAAATAGTTTTGTGCCACGAAAAACTGGAAGCGGTCGTCCAAAGAAACGAACGCCAGAACTTCTTGAAGACGCGAGAGAAGTAATGGGAGGACTTGGTTTATCTATTGGTACCTGTAAGACGATTCTAAAAAAAAGATTTTCATTTGTTTCCTTATCGTCTCACATCTGTATATGAACTAAGTCCAACTGATTTTCCTCAAAGAGGTCAATAGTGTCCAATGGTTTTCAAATACTCCAGAAGACCATCTCAAAAAGACGTTTTTCAGTGATGACGCATACTTTCACCTTAGTATCCCCCGAAAGTTAGCGTTTGGGCCGCAGTTAGCCAACCCAGAATTATCTAGTGGAACACCACCAAAACGCATCAAATACGTACAAGAAAATTGAGGTTATAAACGAAAATGACCACAGCCAATGTGACGTGACCGTCATGTAACTGACCCACATCACTGCAAAAATGTAAATACCCCCCAGGAAACGCATACTTATGTATATAAAATAGTTTATTTTCTTAACAGAGTACTTTACAATCACAATAAATATGTAACAAAATATATCTTTTTGATTAGTCTTGTAACAAATACCTTGCTTCACTTTTGTTCATAATTACTGTGTCTATATAAGACGTAATGCTGAATGATGAAGAAAATATCGAAAACGACGGAGAAAAGTCCTAACCCGAATTTTGTCGGGTCACCAAATATAGAAACCCAGTCGTCTGTAAAAAATCATCAACATGTAATTATCGTCTCGATACTCGATATTCGGAAAAATATCACGGTATAATTTCAACAAGGTCGAAATGAAAGTCTTGTAATTAGTACAATTACTTGGTGTATGAAAATAACCGTCCATACCCGGTACTTACCGTAATTATATGAATTAACAATCATTTGGAGCATGCTCAACATTCCCCCAGTGAAATCGAGGAAAATGTTGCCAATGCTCCACCCCACTGTACTTTTCCGTTTATAATTCATGTACGCCTAAAACAAAAAAATTAAAACATATTTGGCCATTTTCGAAGAATGTTACCTGAGGCACATATTTGATAAGCGTAATGGCAAGTTTCACGTAGGAGCAATAATACAAAAAGTCCAACCAATGAATAACATCAGTACCCGCCAAAATAATACTGATGAAAAGAAATAAACCAAAAATACCCAAAATCCCTCGGGCCGTCAGCGATACTCTTTGGTCAGCTCGTTCGTAAAAAAAGCACTGCCCGATCGTAAATACCGTGGCTGCTGCTGCATGTACAGCGAAGACGATGTCGTTGACTTGGACTGGATTTAGGCCCCTGGGGTACCTAATGAAGTACTCATCCTGCAAATTATTATTATAGCATGGGTTCAGCGATAAAACTGGCATTAACATACTTCAATCTCTGGAATAAAATACAGCCCCAAGTTGAAAACCGAGTAGAGCACAAAACCGACAATGTTAAGGGCGAGGAAGTCAAAGTTTAGACCCACTACACTGAAAAGGGAATTACATACAGTGCGAAAAATTTTTCTCTAGTACCTTTTTCGTCGAAAGTTGATGTAGATCTGAGGGTAGAAAGAGATAGACCATGCGACAAAGTATATCCAACCAATGACTTCCGAAAATATGTCAAGTCCACTGACTTTATACACGGTTACGCGAACAAACGCGTTCTGATCGCTGAAAAATATCAATGAGATGCAAATTGGCAGAGAGAGGTTGTTGTTTACTATATGGTGGCCGTTGCATTAGCGGCTACTTCTGAATGACCGGCACCGATAGCTTCTACAGTTATTTCAATACTGCTATCTCCCGTAGTATTTATGGTGACTGAAGAGGGCTTCACACGAACGATATCTGTATGTTGTATTTCAAAATGAATAGGGAATGGCGTCGTTTGTGTATTGTTTCTGTAAAAAAAGAGAATCTTTTTTTTTTTCGTTAAAATAAAATTAATGACGTACCTGACTAGGAGATTGAACTTGGCTGAGGAGTCAATTTGCACAGTTAAGTCATTTTCTGATACAGTAATATCACATTTTGCTGTATGGATGACTGAAAAAACCTCATTAGAAGGGGGACAACAAAACTCGTTACAACTCTAGGTGTGTTTTAAAAATGCTGTGCTAGATTGGAAAAGCTCGGTCAGGTTTTGCTTTTTTGTGGTTATGCTTATGCACCCATTGGACAAAAGGCAAGCAACCGGTTTTCCCCCTATTCACTTTCTTGCTTAAAGCGTGCACAAATTAAAGTGTGAGTAAAAAACCTTTACCTCTCGGCGCTTTTCTAATCTTACTAAATGTATGGAAAACCATCACAACTACAGTTGTTAAAATTTTAATCAAGTGTCGGATGTACGAATTGGGCTTACCATTCAAAAGTAATGTCGCTAGTATGAGGAGTTTTCGTCTTGTAAAAATCCACTGCATTTTGGAACGTCACCGTGATTGATATTGGCGCCCAACTAGTGGCACTGCAACAACCCACAAACTAACAATGAATTCCAATTCCGGTCTTATATTAGTGTACGTTGATAACGGCATTAAAATTTGAATTTATTGCTGATACGGGAAGACCTAAATCCTGGTTTGGGTGCAGATTAAAATTGAGGTTTTATTATGATCTCATCAATCAGCAATAATTTGCATGAAATAAATAATTAGGTGATAAGCGAAAATGTCTACAATGTTGTAGATAAGGACACGAGGCGGGTGGCCACAAAACTTACAACAACGATATTTTTTTGGAGGTCATTTGACGAACGTGAATAATGAGATAAAAAAAATTTCATCAAATACGACGAAATCAACAATTGTATATTAAAATGTTTTTCTTATTAATCGTTTTGCGCACTGTGATTCGAATAATTGGAATCGAAACAACACTGTAGCACAATCATAGAATCAAGGTCTTACGAATAATCGATATACGTGTACGAACCTAAATCAGTGTTTTTTCCTTGATCAGAGCATCACTTGACCATTATCTTTCACACACTGCACAGTTAAGGTTATGTTTACAACTCGTCAAGTTTTAACTCTTGAAAGAAACGGGCGCTGCTATCTCCGCCTGAGTCAGATATCAACTGGCCTCCCACCATGACACCGATGTGTTTATAATAATTCGTCACACGCGGTAAAATACATTGAAGGATTTATCCGATTGTTGTCGAAATAATTACGGCAAACCAGTTGAACTGGGTATGGGACATAAAATTAACGTGAGGACACGCTCTGTTATGGTTTTGAATGGAAATAAAATCGGCCACATGTTGGGCGCCAAAGTCTGGTATTGATCTAGGCCGAGATGCGTCTAGCGAGTGACTGGCACACTTTTTTTGGTGAAAGTCGCAGTGCGATACTTCATGCAGTCGAAAACTGCCCCAGGACTACTAAAAATTCGTGTTTTCTTTCATGTTTTATTCAGATAATGTACAGATATTATTACAACAATTGTTTGTTCATATATTCAACATTTTGTGTTTTCTTTTTTTTTTATCAAACAAAACATCCAAGGCACCATTCTTCTATAGCACGAAGTGGCCCGTTTGTATAATTTTTGTGTAACCGTGTGGAATGTGTACGTGCATGACTTGCAAAAAGCCGCCAAGAGTACTTACGTTATAAAATTGTATTGTTTTAGATTAGATGCTATTAAGATAAGATTTTCATAAGCCGGATTATCAAAATAACTGGTAAAAATTTAATTGTTTCTACAAACGAGCCATCCCGCGCCTTACATATTCTGCCTTTGTAAAACAGTCTACTACTACAAGACTATCTTAGAGTTTGTTCCAATTTAATCTAGTTTCTTTATTTTACATATTCAACTAGTCTAATCCACTAAATTCGTTAATAAATTATACATACATATCTTACAATGATTGCAAATCGCACAACTTTGTTGAAAGTATTATTCATTTCGGCATTAGGTTTATCGACGTCGTTACGAAAATAATTTATTGCATTGTCATGTGGGAGAGCATAACAAATTATTTTCGTTAAAACGCACATCGATATTGATGAGACATTCTGCGAGACTGGGAAGGGGTTATTCCAGTTATTGCATTATGGAAAACAAATTTACATGTGCGTATTCAGATATGGGAAATCCAAACCAAAGCTTGCGTCACTTCTGCTACTGGAAAGTGCAGTGTACTCGAGAACCTGTGCCTTCGTCTGCGGTTCTTGAATGTTATTATGTCATACGTTAAGGTCGAATTGTATCAATCATGTAATTAAAAACTGTAGTATTAGATAAAATAGATTTCGACATGAATTTTTTGGCATACTCCACGATCGAAACTAGAGGTCTTTAGAACCGAAATAACGTGTGTGATAGAAGACTACGTCCAACATAATGTCTCATCAGCTCTGCTTACAACCATTTGTTCATAATATAATAGTACTTATAAAATCATAAATCATAATAACGATGTATATGTAGGTATACAAATTTCTACTAAACTATCTTATATTATTGCTCATGGAAAAATAAAAACATAATAATCTAAAATCAATCGCAATTACAAACATGATTACAATTTAACAAAAATAAATATAATATTGCTTCCGGTTACCAAAAATATCACCATCCATATATTTTTTTAAACAAGCAGTGTTAAGTGCAAAAATACGTATTTTATTGCAAGCATTTTTCACGAATAAAAATGCTATTATCGTTCATTTAAAAACTCCTTGAATAAAATCAATCACAGATTTCAGCTATTTTGTTCTCTATTTGTCTGAGTCGGAGCTGAAACAAACACGTTCGTTTATTTTCGCCGCGCTTTAATGATATGTTGAACCCCTTTTTGTAGGATTGTTACACTCGAACACCGATTTCTTCCGAAAATCACAACGTGTTTGTTTCGTCTGGGTTTCAAAGGAATCTAAAACTATCGAAGCAAAGTTAAAAATAAGTCGGAGAGGAACATCTTGTTAAAACACTAATCTTACGTTTCGATTCAAAGTGATTAAAAGTGAGGGTTACTTCTAGTCGGTTCTACTTGCAGTAATCACAGATTAAAGTATATACTTAATTACATTACAATATACAGTATCTTGAGACTCGTTTCTAAGAAAGAAGTGTGTAAAGATCCGGAAATTTCAATAAAGCGACACTACCCCCATCCGACTGTAAAAGCTAAAATAATTCAACGAAAGTTCCGAAGGAGGATGGGTGGTGCTGGATTGTTTGAACTTTATTCACTTCCACTTAATACATATTTAACAACAAAACACAACCGAGATATTCCGTTTCACAACAAAAATCGGACCGGCGAGGACCTAATTAATACAGTCTCATCATTGAATAAATTTCCTAACTTACGAATATGTAGATCATCTCTGAATGAGTGCAATGATGGCGTACTTTAGAATATTTGCGAAAAGGACGAACAGCAAGTATGATCTCGTCCTTTCGGAACTGCTGGTTTCGACGCACTTGCCTGAAAAATCCGATGCGATATGATCATTGAATCGGGACGATTTTAATGATCGACTTACCGGTACTCGTCACGTTAAAAACTAGCTCCCCGGTGATTCCAGGTCTCACGATGCGATCACAGTTGTCGGCAGACGTCGAAAACAACACCAGGTCGGGGCTGGACTCCTTGTAGATGAAGCAGTATCTTCGGGAACCGTGCGACGTCCGACCCAGAGGGGTAGTTATCAGGTAGTTGGTGCCGTTCTCTTTCCACCCTCCGTGACAGGAGTAAGCTGCAACGTCCAATTACGGATTTTATATCGGCAAGCACAAGGGCGCGGCGAAGTCCGACGCTGTTCAGACAATAGGTATCGACAAGACGGAACCACTCAAGGGGAAGATGAGAAAACGGCTCTCGAAAGGAGATCCGAGTTTATAATTTTTATTTGGATGAAAGGAAATCCCGACTTCGTGCAGAACGAGGCACATGCGAATTCTGGACGTGTGTAGATTTTCAGGTCAAAGACTACCAAAAAATTACGAAGTCGGGCAAATCACTATTGTATTGTGTCCGATGAATGAGGAGGGCTACGGTAAATATTTTTTGTATTATAGTGCTTTGGAAAAAAGGAATCCCAACACCTAATAAATGTTAACGAATGGTAACGAAACTGGAAGCAAATACATAATTCATTTGATTGTGAAACACTGAAAGAAAATTTTAACAGAAGGTTTACGTTGGCGGGAGAAATTTGAGCACTAGATGGATTTTCTAGCTTTTGTTTCAATATTAAACATGTCGATTTTACTAGAGTGGCCGAAAAAATGTAATAATGAAAGTGCGTGATCAATGCATGTGCAACCTCTTGGTTAGAAAACCCTCTTGAAACCGGACTTGAAGTCAAGAGGGTTTTACCGGTTCAGGTATTTTTCACGTGATCTGCGTCTGTAGAATAATTTTGGTGGACACTTCAGCCAACAGACGATTTCAGGGTACTAACAGTAACTTTCCCGATCTCGAAATTTACCTTCTGCATATAAAGAGAGACAATATAGTCAGTGTATGATGTTCCAGCACGTTTGCAGGTACCCACGCCATACTTGGATAATTCTTGTTCATCTCCGTTATCGCGACTCGAAATTTACAACAGAGATCCTTTTTAACGTCCGCTCATTTTACACCAACGTAGATGCTAATATTTACTGGATGTCGTAAAAATGAAAACCAGTTTGGAAAAATATGCAGCAGGTGAGGCAGCTGGATTATTTTTTATGTGCGATATGGACTGAATTTTGATTATATATTTAACTACATTTGATGACGGGATCCGGTTCAAGTCTATAAAGGCCACGTAAGATACTACGTCTGTATTTTTATAACCGAATGTTATTCTTCCTGTTTAGGGTAAAATACAGTGAATGAGATAATCTTAATGTGTTGTCAACTGATAATGTGTGAAAGAGTTTGGACGTCATAGAAGTGGTCCCTTTTTATCTGAATTTTTGAACTTTGCTCGTTGGAGTGGCAATTCGAGACCTCATTAAAACAAGGAAAGTTCCACTTACAAGTGATAATGTCCGGAGAAGTGCACTGCGCTCGGAACTCCATCGTGTCGATGGAGTTGCAGCCGATAACCAGACTCGTGAATCCGCTGCCGTCGCAGTCGAGATTTTGGTCCACGCGTTTGATCCTCCGCACTAGGTCGGTGTCGCTCCGGACCGACCTGGGGAACTGGTTGACGTAATAGTTGTTGTCGAAGTAGCGGGAGTCCGTTTTGAGGGAGTGTTCGCTCCTGATGAGGTTGCTGACTTCGAATTTGCCATTGTAGGGGCAGGCCCTCGTTTCGGGGGAAGTAGCTGCAATAACGTCAGTCCATAACGAAATTTATATTTCAATTTAGGTGGCAGTTTTGCAGCGTTCATAGAGCGCGTAACTTTCTTTTTACCGAATTAAAATTAGAAGTTGGACCGATAATTCACGGCGGCGGCGAATTCTGAAAACTAAGTCGTAGCAGCTATACGTTTCTTTGGCACGCGCTTATTTTAAACGTTCGGGCGAATGGTGGCAGACCACCAAGAAAGAGTCGTTAGAAATTATTAATGACAGTTGGTGTGACACATGTTAACAATTAACGGCAATATCGCCGCCCGCGTAGCTAATAGCATCTGGTTTGGGGCGGCGGAAATAGATCAAACGGGCTTAAAAAGGCGGAAGTTATTTAGAAGAGTCGATGGAGGCGGCATAAGAGATGCACATTTCCTATCGCGGCGACGTTCTTCATTGTGCGTCGAACAATACGTTTTATTTTGGGGAAGAGTCGTCGGGTTTAATTTCGGTTTGCAATTTGGCGCGTGATTATGCGGCAAATTTGCATTAGGGGCATAATCAAATAAAGCAGCGAGACGCGTTATCGACCGGATTTGTGTTCATCGCAATTAGCATCGTTGTTGTGTGATTGACGCTGCGGTACTCACTGACTAGGGTGACGTATGGCAAATTGGTCCTGTTGAAGTAAGCGGGATTGCAAGCGTCCTCTTGACGTTTGGTTTGCGTTCCGATTTGGACTTCTATGACGTGCATGTCGCGTCGGTAGAAGGACATGCACATGAATCCGCTTTGGCTGCAATAAATCAATTTAATTTGGTTAGACGACGGTTCGTCGGGGGCGAGGACGTACCATCCCATGGTGAAATGCATAAGGAGCACCACGGAGCTGTCGTCCCTCGACGACGGTTTCAGCAGGGTACACACGACTTTCATTTCTAGTCCGGATGAATTGGTTATCCTGAGGGTGGAGTTCCTATGATGAAAACTGTAAGTTGCCGAGTAATCCAAAGTGTGCCAGTGGTTATAATTCGCCACCCAGGAAGGGAAGCGACACTTATTCAACAGGGGAGCTGGAAAAATTCAAATCACTGATGTTACGCCGGAGAGAAATTAGCCCGAGTACAACTGAGACAAATTCCGGATTTCGAGAGTTTTCCCCCGTAAAGGGGATATTTGGGAATGCAAAATTTAATCAAGTAATGGTAAAGTGGCGCATTTTAATAAGTCCTCCACACGAGCGGGAAAAAATAATAACAACAACACCGTGACGAGACGAACCGCTCAAAGTTGAAAATTGTCACCGCCGCTGCGGCCTCGAGGAGTCTCCGCGCATTCGTATTCACAGACTCACCTCTTTTAAGAATCATAGTCCTGCTTCCCTCGACGGCACTGAAGAGTCCATTACAGGTCGCGTCTCCGCTTTGTGCGACTCTATAATCGAAGCCATCCAAAGCTTCCGACGCCGGCGATGCCTTTTCATACACAAAGCATCTGAAACGGTCCTCGTTGGACGTCGCATGGTTGTGGTGCACTTTGCCTACTAAATACCTCGAACTACCTTCTTTCCATACCGCCAGGCACTGGAGTTCCTCCACTGGAAACGTTATTAGATTTTTAGTGCATAATAGAGCCTGATAGAAAAGTGAAAATTTATGAGCCATCGCCAGACTCAGACAGAATTCGCGATGAACGCCCGAAAAACAAACACCAAATCCTCCGCCACTTTGGCCAAACGAAAGTCAATTGTGGCTTGCATATTGATTTTAGAAATGTTTATTAGTGCGGACCACAATAGAATTTCTGTTCGTGCCGGGTTATTGGATGTCGTAATTACGTTTAATAGTATTACGTTACTTGCGGAGAACTGCAAACATCCCCCAAAAGGACCGCCAAATCCCAACCTTAATAAGGCACGTTTTTAATGAAAATTGCGCAACTATCGCATGCACTGGACGTGCACGGTTCAAACGCAATTGAAATTTTTTATCCATTACATGCAGCGAGCGCTAACCCCAATTGTCTCAACTGCATTACCGCAATAACCCAATGCCGGATAATGTACTCGGCTCTCTTTTTACTCCGACAGTCGGCTTTATTCCTGCTTTTACCTAACCTTCCACGAGTCAACCGCACCAGGGCCGGCCGCAGAAAACATTTTTGACAATCTGGATTTTGACTGACGTGACTTTAATTGTAACATTGTCTGTTAAAATTGTTTAATAATAATTACTTTATAGGTTCCCATTGTGATAGCTTTGGACATGTTATATTTACGCACCCATATTGTGTTTTTAAATTACTAAGGAATTATAAATTACGAGGGTGGTTCATCATTTGTTACCCCTGACACAGAAGACGTTGATTGACATATCACAAAATGTTTATAAACGATCTGCCATATATTGAAATGAACGTAGGTAAAATTTGGTTTTCCTCGGTTATTACTTTCAATAATTAAGTGATCAATTTTTAAGTGAAATTTGATTTTTTTTAAATCGATAAAATTTTCCAGCTGCTATTATTATGCTGGCCTTCCAATACTGGAAAAATCGTCTTATTTTCCTGATTAAGCCCCGAGTGACTGCCGTGAAGCCGTAATGACGGAGTAAACAAATGACTTGAGAGACAACATAAAGAATTTTTATGTAGGTGAATGCACTTCCGTTATTACCAGTCTTTTATTTTATACCGGGGACAATAATGATGAACTACCCTCGTATAACAATGAATACAAGCTTTGTCAAATTTAATGACATAAATGTTAAATTAATTTTTATTTTTTAAGAATGCGGAAAAAATAACATTTTCGTCATCAAATGGAACAAGGTTGTAATTAGGTAGAGTACAATATTATAAAGAATGTTGTGTTGTGCTGCTGCTGTTATACGATTAAATTCTTATTTTACATTACATTATATATATATATATATATATATAATATTATACATTTATGAATATAATATAAACTGAAAAACTTAATTTAATAAATAACAGAGATAAATCAAATTCAAAGCAGCCAAATTATTGTGGACGATAACACATGAGTTTTTTTTAGAACACAGTAATCACCTGAACCATGAATAATCCTAATTTTGCAATTTAATGGTTTCAGTGTGACATCGAGGATCTGTATAATATACAGATTTTCGTTTGTTTGTTTGTGTTCTCTTTATTTAAGGAACAAAGATCCAAACCAGAGAAAGAAAGGTAATTCATTGTTTCCACAGTAAACGTATTTTTAGGAACGATATTTATATTTGGTTAAATCATCTCTGATTCCAATAGACTTCAGGGCTCTTCAACTTGTAAAGCAAGCTTTACTTTAGCAAAAGAGGATTCAATGGGTCGGTGATGCCAAGCTTCTTGTGTTCAAATCTACCCTACTAACTTCGTCTTTCTAGGGCTTGTAACCTGGGTTAACCAGAGCTTTCGTTTCCCGAATTCTTACGCGAAACCCTGGTCAGGTTTGTACGATCTCACGGACCAGTTCGAGTCCAAAATTTGGCTAGACGCTTGCTTCCAAGAGAAGAGTACTTCAAGATTCACCAGTACGAAAATAGATTTACTGCAGGGTAGAGCCCGATCGTGATTTCCGGTCTGCATAGCACCTTTTGATGATCAGACTCAGTACTGTCCCTCTAAATCTACTAAGTGTAGACGTGGTCGGCAAGATTATGTAACTCCAAGAAATGTGTCCCTGAATCTTCTACTCAACTTTCATCACGAACACTAGAGAGTCGACCGGTTACATTTCCTCCTTCAATTACCATAGAGTCAAAAGAAGTTTTCAGGGAGGTCGGTACGAAAGTGATTTACGTTTCTGAACCGGACGCACAGTTTTCTCGGCAACCCGAAGGATAAATAGGTATAACGCGTGGAGGTTTTGTCAGATTTGTTGTTGTCTGGATGTTTTTTTAGTGTTGCGTTTTCGTAAAGGATACCAAATGGCCAAAAAGATACCGATGTATCCATTGCTAATCATTTCTTTTTGTAATTTATTGTTTTCGGTTTCCTGCGTGTCCGCGATCGCTCGAGACGGCCCTGCTAGCTAACCCATCAAAATACACCGGCATACCCAGCTTTATTTAAATAAAGTATTCAAATATCGAATCCCAGATCAATTTAATAAATGTCAAGGAATATCCTGTTATGACTTAAATTTAAATTTCATGCGGGCCTTTATCTGATCGTCACGATAAAAGTTGCAGTGACTTACCGGTGCTTTCGGAACCGTAAACATCAGGGCACGCCTGATAACTTAAAAGTAGTCTGCTGTCTTCTATACAGGTGTCTATGCTGGATACGGGGACCCGGCACTCGCCGTGTCCCCTGTTGTAGGTGAAGGTGAAGGGCCCTCGGAATGGACATGGCACCGGGGCTGCATTCTCCCTGAACATGGAAAAGAGCAACGCGTCCCCCGTTATTAAGCTGCACAGTGTGGGAAGGGAATCCCGACTATGGCAGAAGGCTGTAAAAAAAAGTTTGCGTGACGCACAGGCGAATTATCATAAATTAGCCGTCGACGAAATTTTTTCTTGTGTATGTGATTGGCTTTTAATGACTGACAAATGGATTTGGCCGATAAAGAACTCTTTTGTTCTGTTTCAATTATTTCTGATAGCATTTTCGGCGGTATAATGTGTTGATTTTGTGGCAGAGATTACATGCAGATTTAGGTGGGTTGCGTGCCAGACCGGCGCATCCGCCATTATTTCGTTGTTGATATTATTTCTTATTAAATGGAATGGAGTGTTTCTGGCTGGAAGTTAGCAGCAAAGAAATGTGGAGGAGTTTTCGCCGCCTCTAACGAGGAAAATAATGAGGAAATAAAAAGATTTTTTTCGAGTTGATTAGAGAACGGCTGGAATCAGCAAAACGGCGGACGATAAAAATGTTTGAGGGAATAATTACCAGCGACATACAGTCACGGAAGTTCTCGCTGATCGATGTGGAGTATACTCGGAGCAGATTAGGCGGAATTTATGGCAAGTGTTGGGAAAGTGAGGATAACAAACCTCTTTAGTCCTTCAGAGAGTGGCCAAAGAGAGTTTAAGGCAAAGTACGAGTAAAGTAGAATAGATTAAGTAAATGTCTTGGGTCAAACACTATATGTAGCCCTGCTAGGGCACGATAAGAAGGTACAGATTGTTATTATTTTGGGAAACAGATTAAGTGCAGATTTATACAGGGTGTGAGTGTTTTGAAGCAAGAAGTTTTGATTTATCGCGCAACTTTAAAATAAGCAATCTTGTGGGGGGTTATGAGTAAGATAGGATTCTTAATATTTCAAGTTATGAAAGCCATTTCAAAACATATCATTAGGAATGATATATGGTAGCCGGGTAAGATATTTCTATTTATATGACTATTCAAACGACAAGCATGTAGTCTGTGAGGTCGCACAGTTTTTTGGTAATAAATAATGGTGTCGAGGAAGTAAGACGTTTAACCACGATATTTTTGTGCGACCGTTAACAACATGTCGCAGCACGTAAAAACTTCCCACGAATTAATGCAATGAAGCTATCCACCGTTAAATGATAAGTCGGTCTAGGGATAAGTGACGTGAGTAATGCGCCACCAGAGGCATTAGTCAAAGTGTAGGGCGGTAATATAGTGTAATACGCAGCGCACTTACTTTCTTTGTATTGCAGAACGTTTGCGTGTTTCTCGTGAATCACGACGCAACGATAGCACGCCCTTTTGCTGCAACAAAACACATTTTTATTAATGTCATAATATTAGTCCCGGCCACTTCCTTTTATCCCTCATTTATCTAAAAAAAAAGAATTTCACCTGCGTAATATCTTTATTGTCCAGGATAACAGTCTGTTTTTTCGTGCAGGATGGCCGCAATTATTTTTAGAGGGTGCCACGCGGCCGTAATTGCGCGATAAAAAAATGGTCGGGTTTAATTGTGACGAAATTTCCATGATGCCGGCGTAAATCAGGCGTGACCCGATTCCGGCCCAGGAAACCGTGGCAGGGTCAGGGGCGGGATGGAGCTGGTATGACTTATTATGGACCACTGCATGTCAGAAGCGGACAATAGGGCGAGGGGAGACCGCTGGGGTTTATTCCGATTTCACGGTACTGGAGAGCAGTCATTTCGAGTGTTTACTGTATATGAACAATGCGGAAGTAAGCGGGACGCTATTTCGTCATTGCGCATTTTGAACAAGTATTTCTAGGCTTGTTAGAAGAATTTGCTGAATTGACGACACTGCTATCCGTAACTTCTTGGGTTACGAAATGATAGATATTGTTTTTAATTTTATGGTTACTTTAAACTAATCACAAAATTTCTGTCTGTCTGTCTGTCTGCCTTTTGTCATGATTTTTATTAGAGAAATAATCTACGAAACTGCTGGACCGATTGTTATCTAATTTAATGATGATAAAACGCTTACGAAAATTTGAGTAACCATCTCCACCAATAATAGGAGAACGTCATCTCCAAAACTTACGTGTTGTGTAGATATTATTTAAATTTTGTAAAATAAGATACTCCTGTACTTGTGGTTTATGAATCCGCTTTGAGTTTTTAACCTAGACATTCCCAAATAATTGATGAAGTCATCTCAAAATTTTGACGAATAAATTCTATCTAAAATAAGGAAAATATTATGACTCCATACTTATGGTTTATCAATGTATTCATAGTTTTGTAATTGCTTATACAGAATGACACAAAGTAATTAATGAATGAGCCAATCTATTTTATTCACTGAATTAAGAGCGGCTTACCTCATTTTTCCGAAAATTTTATAATTTTAGACCAATTTTTTAATAAAACCTGATCGTGCCCGCTGCGCTCGCACGATTAGAGTATTCTTTAACGTTTAGTATTAGAAGTGTCCAAGAAAGAGTCTTGGCAAAGTTTGAGTTCAATTGTAATAATAAATCTCTTGATTTTGAAAAGTACACTTGGAATACGAGCGCAATGAGCACGTTTAGGTAACCCCAACTTAAGTAAACACAATTCATTATTTTTAAGATTCACTGTTTAGTATATTTAGTAAACGAGAAATTATTTTTTTTTTTACCTTCCCAAGGGCAGTATTTTTTCAAAATTACCTTCTAAGCGTTTTTTTTTTAGTTTAGAGTCATAGAAGTGATTAAGAAAGAATCTCACCGAAGTTGTAGTAATAAATCTCTAGACTTTTACTTTAAAAAATAAAATTCCATTTGACAACAATGTTTGCCTGATATAAAACGAAGGTACAAATCAGCAAAAATCCACTAAGTAGTTACAAATGTTTGACGTATCTAAAATTGTTAGTTTTCAAAACCCTACGTTTAAAATCTCATTTGCCAAAATCAGTGTTATCTTAGCAGGTACTAGCACCGCCCACCCGCCTTCTTTTTTCTTAGACGCTATCTCATTTGCCAAAATCACTCTTATCTTAGCAGGTACTAGCCCCGCCCACCCACCCTCTCTTTTTTTAGGGGATATGTCATTTGCCAAAATCAGTTTTACCTTAGCAGGTACTAGCCCCGCCCACCCACCCACCCTCTCGTTTCTTAGAGAGTATGTCATTGCCAAAATCAGTTTATTTTAGCAAGTACTGATAACTAACTTTTACAAAAAATGATCAAAATTGGGAAACATTACGAGTTTACTTATAATATGCATATGGCAGGAATTTTGAACACTTTCTCTAGTGTTTAGTTGGTTATGCTTCAATGGATTTTTCTTTTTTTGGTTTTGTTTTTGTTTATATTTTATAAATATCTTATTAAATGTTTTTTTTTTGTTTAATTATTAATGAAATAGCATAGTCATATTCTCATCAGTCAGTCAAAATAACCGGCAAGATGAAGTTGGTTGTAGCCGACATACAAGTTTTCAAATCTACAAAATAATTAAAAGTATTGGACGAAAACACCAAGCTAGATATCTGAAAATTTTGAACGAATACATCAAGGAACATAAGGTCGCATATGTGAAAGGAAAAAATAAAGAAAATTATCTCATGGATACGCTAGGAAAAGACTGTCCCAAGATTGTGAATCTGGAAGCGATAGAAAACTGTGTGAAATTGACCAAAGAAATCCCACCATGTGATAATCATATATCTAGTAATAAAAAATGTTTCTGTTCATTAAATAATTCTAAAAGTATTTACATCTGGTTGCGTTCTATATTGCAATTTGTGTTTTATTTAGACGTAAAAAAAACTGTCAGGTGTGGCATTCGAATCCACGCTCCGCTTCGAGAATCAGAGCTTAAGGGCCGGTTGCATAAACGCAAATCAAATTTAATCTCTGATTAAGAACAATTGTAACTATGATAATAACAATCGTTACTATGGAGTTAATCAGAGATTAAATTTGATTTGCGTTTATGCAACCGGCCCTAAATCTAACGCCTTAGACCGCTCGGACAACTTAAATTTTTATTTATAAATCTGTACTTTCCTACTAAGATATATGAGAGGATAGTCGAGATAGAACTCGAGTTTGCCCAACAAGGCGATGACAAACGTTCGATGAAAAGTAGTGGTGCTCCGAGCTTAGGTCAAATGAGGTCAAACTGAGCTAGGAGCCCCACTATATAACTACTAGAACGCGAGCGAGATAATCATAAACATTTTTGGGATTCGCCTTTTTTGGACAAAAAAATCTCTTAATAGCAATTGAGCTTCTTATGGATACTGACGAATAATTTTGAACACCCAAACGTGGTCTCATGAGAACGTTTACGGATCAATCGTGAATGAGAGCACTACTTAGATTTATTTTATTATAATCATCGTATAGATGTCCCTGTGAAGCTGAATTATTCTGAAAGAATTAACCTCAAGAATGCCAAGTGGGTTGATTCTCGTCTTTTTTTAATTGTTGTATACGTAGAATTTTTTATATGTAATTTGTTTATTGATTCATTTTTGATAAACATCTGGAAGCCTTAGAAAACTGTGTGGAATTGACCAAAGAAATCCCAGCATGTGATAATCATATATCTAATAATAAAAAATATTTTTGTTCATTAAATAATGCTAAAAATATTCACAATTGGCTGTGTTCTATATCATAAATAAATAACATAACACTTAATGTGTTTTATTCAGACGCAAAAAAACTGTCAGGTGTGGGATTCGAACCCACGCTTCCTTTCGAGAATCAGAGCTTAATCTAACGCATTAGACCTCTCGAACATCCTGACTTAAATGTTTTTTTTATAAATCTGTACTTCCCTACTAAGATATGTGAGGGGATAGTCGACATAGAACTCGAGTTGACAAAGCAATGACAAACGTTGGATAAAAAGTAGTGGCGTTCTGAGCTTAGGTCAAATGAGGTCAAGTTGAGCTAGGAGCCCCACTATATAACTACTAGAACGCGAGCGAGATAATCACAAACATTTTTAGGATTCACCTTTTTTGGACAAAACAAATTTTGAGTGACAACCAAACGTGCTGAGAATTATTCTGAAACAATTAACTTCGAGAATGTCAAGCGGGTGGAGTCTCATCTTTTTTTAATTGGTGTACACGTAGAATTTTTTTATATATAAGTTGTTTATTGATTTATTTTTGATAAAAATTTTCATCAAAAAAATCTGACCTGACCAAACCTGACCTGATTGAATATATACGATTACTGTTACTACTATTATTATTATTATTAACAACCGATGATGGTCATTTAAATGAAAGTAAGTTTGGTATGCGGGGAAGATAATCTATTGTCTAAGCTACTCGTAATTTCAGTAAAAAAGTTGTCCATAATAAAACACAGAAGGGCACTTACATTAAAGATGGATGGGAATTATTCCCTCGACAAAATAGATAGTTTGCCCCTCAGTTAGGTAACTTTAACGGGATGTCGGATAATTTTTTGATTGAGAGAAAAAGCGAATACAAATTCAGCCTGTTGAACTAGCTAATCCGATTTTTAATCTGGGATTCACTGTGACCATAAATGCTATAGGTTTTTTAAAAAGTGGTTATGGTTCGACATACTAGTTAGTGGTTTCGCATGATTTAGGGCCGGTCTAGCCCAGGTCTGCTTAGCTCAATGAGTACATCCTAATATTTTGAGAGATAGTGATCACTAATTTCACAAATAGGTGTACTTATAGTCTTAAACATAGCACTTAAAATTTAATCAGTAAAATTAGCTATAAATCTTTGTAGTAAACCTAAGATAGGAAGCCTTATTTCATGTGTAATATTACCGAATAGTCAAATATTTCAACCAATTTCAAAGAGTTTTTAATCCTGTTTTTGAATGACAAAATTTCTTTCAAACCTAGAAAGTTTCTACCTCGTGTTTTAATTCTTCTAGAGTTAGGAAGGAATGCAGAAAATCTAAATCAGTGTATCACAGAAAAAGTAAATCATCTGTGGAAGAACCCTTAAGAATGTCCACGAAACATAAATAACAGATACGGAAATAAAAGGTGCGAAAAATTCTAAAGAAAACTGGATTGAAACTACATAAAACAAAATAAGGAATCAGAGCGTGAATAGAAATTGCAAACCTCATGATAAATGTGATAAAGATATTCCGAAGGAATTATGAGCAGCAACATCTCTTTATTGAATCGAATACCCAATAAATCACTTCAACCGAAAGTAACGGCTGTGAAATTATGCACAGGAAAAAATTATGTCTCAGACGTCTGGAAATTTTTAGTTCTCTTGTCTATATCTATTTTCTTAAGGAAAAATTGGAAATTGGCAGCAAACACTGAGAACTATGAATTTATGGATTGTAAAACGAATTCTTGAAGTGTGGGTTTTATGGTCTTGAAAGAACAGTTTAGTGCATCTAAAAATAATAGCTGTGGATAAGTTTGCAATACCTGATAACTGATAAAATTTTTGGGTAGTCTACGGTATCAAGGTCAGAAAAATTAAAAGAATTAAAATATGACAAGTCACGTATAAAATAAATAAACCCGCATGCTTGAAGATAACGCCAAAAAGCAATCGTAGGGGATCAATTAAAAGCTTCCTTAAACGTCAGCAGGATGGTCCATTATACTATGTTATCTATTTTCTTATAGTTAATATAGTAAATAAAATATGTTTTGCAGAATGAGTATCAAATCATGTAGTCACTAAGGACAGTTCAACATTTGTTGTCATATGGCCTTCTTTACGTCCATTTGTGCGTGTTGGCGTAGGGTTTAAAGGAAGCAGCCTTCGCTAATGTCCAAAGAATGTTTCGAAGATGATGGCCGCAGCAGCTCCGGCATGCCGCCCCTGCCGGCGGCAGTAAAAACGAGGTCACTTACTCATCCACAACCAAGAATTTGTCGCCCTCCGATCCCAGACATCGTCCTTTGCTGCTCAGCCGCGGCCCTTCTATGATGATGGGCTGTCGGACCCCGGACTGGAACCACGTCCCCTCCCATCGCTCCGGGAAATAGCAGCCCCCTGAAAACACACAGACAGCACGCTAATGTAGATAATGCAGATGCATGGCCAGCTAGAGGGGTCAGATTTAAAACTGAAACCGGCGAATATGGGAACAGGCGAGGCAAAGATTAGCGGTTTTGATGAATTTACACGGTCCGTATCATATTTAGCGGCGGCGGCTGGAGCCCTTTTTCCGAGGCCGAATTAATCGTAATTGAATTATTTAGGCGTTCGTAATTAAACAAAAAATCGCGGCGGATTATCATTTCGCGATCTGCGGTTAAATGTTTTTTGTTATTTTTTCATTATCACAACAATCGGAAGCGCGACGCGGACTTGATGGCCAATCATTCTTTTTAAATTGTTTTATGTCGCGATTTACATCAGCTGCCATAATTGCGACACACGATCAAAAATGCAAATGTCACAATCCGATATTGGACGCGGGGGAATGGAGTCATGCAAAAATTCCAATTCTCGGAGTGCTTATGGCGACGTGCTGGTGGTGATTGTGGGGTGTGGACAAGGCAGGAGCTGTTATATTGCAAAACTCAAAATCGTCATCATTAAAATGAAATGCACTCTTGCGAAATGAAACGATTTTATAAGATATTATCTTGATTAGTAATACAAAAAACGACTATGGTACGTGTTATATAACAGTACAAATAAAACGACAAAACAAACAAATGTTTTTTCAAAGATACAAGTACGGGGTCCATGTTTCAAATTAAAGTCCTCGCTGAACTGCTAGAACGGAGTCTATTATTGAGTGGCTTTAAAAATTTATTTTGGTGGAATGTACATAGACTCAATGTCATGAAACTTTCATGATTTCATCTAGGAAAGTGTACTCTACTTTTTGACTCTGCGCTTTAAGTGTTTGCTCATTTACGTATTACCTACCTACATTTATGTACAAAATTGTCCAAATTAGATTTACAAGGTGAAAATAGATATTTTAATGAAACAGGGAAAAAGTTGCAGTTGCTTTCCTTTTTATATTTATTTTAATATACTTTCACAATTTAGGATCTAACAAAAAAGATAATTAACGAGTGACGTATGTGCTGATGTTCAGCACTTTAAAATTTTAGTAGGTGAAATTCGGACATAAATTAAAACCACCGATATTTGCATTGCTGGTTTTTTGCCCGTTAGCTGTCCGTCAGTTAATAATTTAACTTTAACGTCATACTTCTATTTTTGTAGACATTTTAATACTACAACTGAGCGCAGGAACCGACAGAGTATTTAAAACTTTTTGAAGGTTTAATAGATTCATGAAACCAATACGTGGCGATATTTTTTGAACTGATCAAAATAAAGGGAAAAGTCAATTTTTATGAACTTGAAATACAGAGATAACTGCAGATTATAATTTTTGTTTTTTATGCTAACTGTAAAAATATCGGTCTCTGCAATTTCGTATTGTTGAAGATTATTCTGTAAAAGAGAACTTTATTACTTCCTAAGCGTGAGCTACCTGACCTCTAGAATGCGAAAAAAGTAGTCTTCCAATTGCGCCTGTCTGTCTGTCGTCTGTATTGTTTGTTTGATTGTTGTCAAATTTTGATGTATACCTATTAGGAATATTATGTAGATGTAAAATGATAATCAGAATTTGGCTAATTTTCCCCACCACCAATGGGATGATGTCATCTCCAATATTTACAATATATATTTTTTAATTTTATAAAATAAGGTAATACAGTAAGGTTGTGTTTTCACCTTACACATTCAGATTTTTGGAACAAAACATTTTGCATTTAACTTTGAAACTGCAAAACCGAATGCTCTGAAATCTTGCAAACGTTTTAAGGTTATAGTAATCATGGTAAATCGTTAATCAAAATTTATTCGTTTGTCGCTTCCCAAAAAATTGATGACGTTATCTTAAAATTTTGTAATGAAAAAACTCACTTGAAACAAACGCATAGCACACTTCTTTACATTTACTTTAACATTGCGTACATATTTTATTTTAACTTATAAGATTACCCTTATAATTATGTATAACCTTTGTGTATTATGCAGGGTGTCTCTTTTATTTGATACAACCCCTGTAATTTATTTATTCTTAAAGATAAACCTGTAGTTCTTTGAGCAAATTTGTATCATTTTAAAAGATCTATGTGATGGCAGCCTCACATTTTTATTATCACTTAGTAGAAAAGTTATTCAATAAAATAGACGAAAAATTCATATTTATTGATGACAATCTAGTAGCATGAAAAATTGACACTCATGTCATTTATTCACATAAGTGATCTTTTAAAATGATACAAAATTGCTCAATTAACTATATGTTTATCTTTGAAAATAAAAAAAATTACTGGGGTTGTATCAAATAAAAGAAACACGTGGTACATGATATAATTTTTCGAAAAATCTGACTTTTTTTATATTGCAATTTTTTGGTTTTTCTTTTTTTTTTCATGGTTTTTTTGTTTTTTCATTTTTTTAACGTTTCAATTTTTCCATTTTTCAATATTTCGGATTATTTTTCGTTCTTTTAACTTTAATTTTTCAATTTTTCATTTTCTCGACTTGTTCGTTTCTTCAATTTTTTGATTTGTAATTTTTAATTTTTCCATTTTTCAATTTCCCAATGTTTAATGTTTTGATTTTTTAATTTATAGTTTTCTCAATGTTTCAAGTTCTTGATTTTATTTTTTATTTTCACGATTTTCTGATTTTCACTTCCTGAATTTTGTATTACAATTTTGCGTTTATTTAATTTTTCAAATTCTTAGGTCTTGATTTTTCAATTCATCCATTTTCCAATTTTCCAATTTTTGGATCTCCAGTTATCCGATTTTCCGATTACTTTAATTTTCAATATTTCAATTTTACAATACATACTTTATTTCGCTTTTTTCGATTTTGCCCTTTTTCGATTTTTATGTTTCTCAATTTTTTATCTTTCGATTTTTGAATTTTTCGTTTCTTCAGTTTTTCAAATTCTTGATTTCCAATTTTTTAATTTTTTTAAGTTTTCATTTTTACTTAAAAGTCGAAAAAATGTAATGAATCAAAAAACTGGGATGAAGACAAAACGGAGCGAATTGATAAATTGGAAAACCGGAAAATTGTAAAAAATCTAATCATACAAAAATGGAAATATTCTAAAATCGCAAAATTGAAAAAGTGAAAAATTGTAAAAATTATAATTATTATTATAATTATATTTAAAAGGAAAATTAGAAAAATAGCAAATCAAGAATTGAAGGAAGGAAGTATCGAAAAACTGAAAACCGAAAAATTGCAAATCCAAAGTTCGAAAAATTTCACATTGAAAAAAAAAAATAAAATCACAACACTGAAAACTGAAAAATTGAAAAAATTAAGAAAATAAATCGAAACAAAAATTAAAAAATTAAAAACTCGTGAAACGGCATATCGAAAAATTGCAAAATTTAAAAATTAAACCAACCAAAAATTGAAAAGTTGAAAAATTAAATATCGAAAATGAAAAAATTTAAAATTTAATAATTGAAAAATGGAATGTTCCAAAATCGTAGAATTGAAAAAGTGAAAAATTGTATTATTATTACATTATATTTAAACGAAAACTAGAAAATTGGCAAATCAAAAATTGAAGAAAGGAAATATGGAAAAACTGAGATTCGAAAAATTACAAATCCAAAAATCGAAAAATTTCGCATTGAAAAAAAAATGAAAAATTATAAAATAACAACAGTGAAAAACCGAAAAATTGCAACAATTAAGAAAATTAACCAGAACGAAAAATTGTAAAATTGAAATATTCTAAAATTGTAAAATTGAAAGAGTGAAAAATTGTAAAAATTGTAATTATTATTATATATTTAAAACGAAAATTAGAAAAATTAAAAAAAACTGAGAACCGAAAATTTGCAAATCCAAAAATCGAAAAATTTCATATTGAAAAAAAATAAATAAAAATAAAATCACAACATTAAAAAACTGAACAATTGAAAAAATGAAGAAAACAAACCGAAACGAAAAATTGAAAAATTAAAAATTAAAAACTCGTGAAAATGCAAATCGTAAATTGCAAAATTTAAAAATTAAACCAATCAAAAATCGAAAAGTTGAAAAATTAAATATTGAGAATGAAAATATTTGAAATCCAATAATTGAAAAATGGAAATATTCTAAAATCGTAAAATTGAAAAAGTGAAAAATTGTAAAAATTGTAATTATTATTATTATATACTTAAAACGAAAACTAGAAATATGGCAAATCAAGAATTGAGGAAAGAAAATATCGAAAAACTGACAATCGAAAAATTTTACACTGAAAAAAAGAAAAATTATAAAATCACAACATTGAAAAACCGATAAATTGAAAAAATTAAGAAAATAAACTGAAATGAAAAACTAAGAAATCAAAAATTCGAAACTCGTGAAATTGCAAATCGAAAAATTGCAAAATTTAAAAATTGAACCAACCAAAAATTGAAAATCGAAACACTGAAAAATTAAGAAATGAAAACTTGAAAAACTGCAAATCAAAAAATTGAAAAATTGTAAAATTAAAGGAAATAAAAAACCGAAACGAAAAATTGCAAATCGAAAATTTGAAGAAATGAAAAATTCAAGAAGCGGAAGCTTGAAAAATAAAAAAATTAAAACTCGAGAAATTTTAAATCGAAATATTGCAGAATCTAAAAATTCAGAAAACAAAAAAATTAAAAATTGAAAAATCGCAAATCGAAAAATTGAAGAAACGAAAAACTGAAAAAATTAAAATTGAAAAAACAAAAAAATTATAAAATCGAAACATTGAGAAATTGCAAATCGAAAAATTGAAAAACTCAAAAGCTGGAAAATTGAAAAACTGAAAATTAAAGTTAAAAACCCGAAAAATTGCAAATCGACAAACTGAAGAAATAAAAAAAAAAAAATTGAAAAATTCAAGCCAAAATGTTATTTACGCCACTGATTTTACTTTAAGACGTTATCACAAAACAAAAATCACAAACAATTTTATAATTTTTCAAAGAAACGGGATTTATTGGGCTCCACTTCAG